AGAGTCTTTTATAGAGACTGGGGTGGGGTTTGTAGGGGCTGAGGTGGGGTTGACTGAGGTAGTGACTAGGGAATGGAGGAGCCGGTGATGTCACTGGGTGGTAGGAGGTGAGCGAGTATTAGGTTACTCTCTAGGTGGGAACAGGGGCATACTGGGAAGAAGGGTTTGTTCTTTGGTGGGAGCAACCATCTTGGCATGATGTCACACAGGGGAAGGGGCAAGGCACCATAGGAAGAGGGCAGCTACTATACATAATAGCTGCTGAGGTGGTGGGAGACCTATCAAAAGTCTTTGTAAATAGGGAAGGGTGGAGGGGTGAGGGGAGTGCAGGGAATGGGGAAAAAATGGGAACCAAGGTGCATCATGTGGAGGTACAAGTTCCCAGTGAGAAATGTGAGTGTGTTGTATACCTAAAATGTACCAATTAAAGAATTTAAGAAAAAAAAATGATCTTCTTACTGCCCTCATCAACAGAAGATCCTTGGCCACCTAAGGAGGATTACTGCTGCCCCCTAAGTCACCTGATGTTCCCTCCAATTATTGTGTGTACCCAATAAATAGTGGCTAGCTCAGACTGTCTTTGTCTTTGCCCACTCTAAGGCACTGACCTCCCGGGCCACCCATGTACTTTGAATTTATGCAAGTCTCTACTGTTTTTCTTTAGCCCTGGCCGGCCCCCTTTCTAGGCAGTTGTCGGATTGGGATTGATTGCCCTCTGATAAATCCTGCACTTCCTAGACTCCTCTCACGTGTACCTCCCTGGGCTCTGTGGAGTGGCCTTACAGATGTTGGGGGAGTTGGGCCTTCTTCACCAAAAATGCTCAGAAAACCACATGGGGTTAGTTTGTTGGATTAGAGCAGCACAACTCTCAAAACATCACTGTCAAACATGAACAGTCAGGAGGAAGAAGCCCAGCTGGAGGGCTTGTGTGGCAACATTAGGCGGCGGCAGCAGGAAGGGTGGAGGGGCAGAGGGCACTGAGGGTGGGGCACTTGTCAAGATTGAGGGAGAGCCCGCCTTCCAGCCCTAACAATAACAAAACAAAAACCACCAAAGAAGAAAAAACTAAGAGAAACCCCAGAAGCTGGGTGTGGTGGCACAGCCTGTAATACCAATACTTGGGAGGCTGAGGCCTGAGGATCACGATCACTTCAAGGTGGCACGGGGATTTAGCTCAGTGGTTCCAGCGCCGGCCTCGCCAGCGCAAGGTCCTGAGTTCGATCCCCTGCATGAAAAAAGACAAAAAAATAAGTGAACTATCACTTCAAGGTCAGCCTGAACTACACAGCAAGACCCTGTCTCAGAAAAGAAAGAACGTCACACTCTCAGTGAGTGTCATGACACATCTACAATGGCAGGTACTCAGGAGGCTGAGACAGGATGATCCAGTTTGAGGCCAGCCTGGGAAATTTAGCAGGAACCCCCTCTTTCACCAAATAAAATAAAGTCTTAGGGGCTGGGGATTTAGCTCAGTGGTTTGGCCGGCTGCTGTGCAAGCGCAAGGACCCGAGTTCAATCCCCAGTACCAAAAAATAATAATAATAATAATAATGAAAGTCTTACAGGTGGAATGAGGCCTGGTTTGATAGGAACCTAGGGAATTAGCAGAAGGCCAAGGGCATGTGGCCAGATGTTTCACCCACTCATTTGAACTGGATCCCATGAACTCAGAGAAACATTTTTTTTTTAGAGGAATATTTTTATGCTTTCGATGTGAACTTGGATGACTAATTGAACTTATAGATGAATGGTTTCACTAGCTAATGTTCATCTGGCATTATTTGATGGGCATTGTTTTATTAACTCATAACTCTTGGGGCCACACAGTCTGTGAAGGATATAGACATGGTAGTACCACTGATATAGGGGGAATGGATGTACCTCCTGTCAGGCCAGGCCTAAACCAATAGCAAACAGGCTGCTTTCAGCGAACAACAGCAATTTCTCAGTAAATAGGGCAAATGGACTCAAAATGAAGTATACACACTCCCTGGTGCAGAGAAGTCCAGTAATTGTGTACACACCTGAGGAGACCGTCTTTGGGCATCCAAATCATAAGTATTTTACCCTAGATTCATGAGCCCCTTCAATACCTATATATGCCTAATTCCTTTCCAAGTTAGTTGCTGATATTTTTCTCCTGTGTTAGCCCAGCCACTCACAGGTGAAATCTCTCCCAGCTAGCTGCTGCTGTTTCTCTCACCCAAAGTCAGCCCATCCACACACAGATGTGATAAACTCGGCTTTTCCCAGCTAGCTGCTAGAATCTCCTGATTTTAGTACCTGTTCATTGGAATAAACTTTTCCTTCAAAGCCTATTTTGGCAAACCTGCTAGATAGCTGAAACGTGAGTTCGTGTTCTCTAAAATTGAAGAATGAATTCTAGGAACAATGGAAGTTTGAGTAGGAGAATTTATTGAGACAAAGCTTCTAAGAGAGACAGAAGGGGGACCAGAAAGTGGGTTGCCCAGGGGCCATTTCCCAGGGGAATTTTATGGAGGAGCAAAGCCACGAGCTGAGGTGGGCTCAAGGTGGGACAAAATTATAGTCAACTAGTAAGATTACAAGTACAGTCACTTAAGTAATATTGATCCAATGGGAAATCACAAGGTGGTTATGAGGCAGGACAAAACTATAATCAACCAATAAGATTACAAGTATAGGTAATATTGATTAAATGGGGATCAAATGGGGAAGCAAGTCACCTAGCAAGCATACAAGGAATGGATTTTCTGTAAGGGATGGGTCAGAGACCTTTCTTGGAAGCAGGATTAAGGTCTTAGTCCCCCACCCAGATGATTGATACCTATTTAGATTATCAATCACTGCTATTCATCCTTAGAGGAAGTATGTGGGTGTAGCAGTTTCTGTTTTTATTATGCCAACCTTCAGTGAATGTGTCTCTTTTGTCTTTGATAATTGACTCCTTGAGGGCCAGCCCAGATTGACTGCTCACAAGATATCTAACATAGGCCCGGGGTATTTAGCTCGGTGGTGCTGCTGCCTGCCTCGAAAGCCCAAGGTCCTGAGTTCAATACCTGGCACCAAAAAAAAAAAAAAAAAGCTATCTAACATAACATACCTATCTACAATACCATTCAGAAAAGGAAACTGAGTCTACAGGCCTAGGCTCCTAAATGTTAAATCAGGCAACAGATAAGTCTTGGGAAACTCAGCAGAGAATGAGAGGCTGTGGGGAGGCATACATTAGAAGAGACATACATTAAAAGAGACTTAGCATTCTCTTTTCAGAGGTAAGTTAAACTCTAGCCCGTCTGGAGAGATAACTGTCCCAAGTTATGAAATACAGGCAGATATTACAGAAAATCTACAAAATCCACTAGGCCAGACATGGAGGGATGATGGGAACTGTGGTTTGTTCTCTAGCAGGGGTGCGGGCTTTTATGTCCCCCCCCCCGCGCCCCCGTGACCTCAGGCACCCAGGGATAGGACAGTCACTGCACACGCAGAGACATTGCTCATTACAAATCAGGTTTTATTTATTTTATTTATTTTTGGGGGGTACCGGGGATTGAACTCGGGACTTTACCCTTTCGAGGCGGGCGCCGGAACCACTGAGCTAAATCCCCAGTGAGAAGGTTTTATTTCTGATATAAATAAAGCAACACTGAAAAGCAGTTAAATAAGACAACCCCTTGGCCTTAACCACGCCTCCCACTGAGCTCCAGGCAGGGAGGCGGGGCCTGAGCTGGAGCAGAGGGACAGGATGAGGCCAGGGCTTGGATCAAGGGCGGGGCCGGGACTGGGCCGGGGGAGGGAGGCGGGGTCTGTGGAGGGGCAGGTGTGGGGACCAGGGACCCGGGTGAGTTCCCCAGGCGAGCCCAGGCTTGGGCCCGCGCAGCAGGGGTGAGGCAGGGGCCCAGCTCCTCTTGGGCCCTGGCGATGCGCCGGGCGAAGCGGCTGCGATCTCGGGCGAGCTGCTCCCAGGGGCCTCGGCGGGCGGCCTGGGCGGGCCCAGCCCATACAGCCAGGAGATGCACGATGACCTTCTCAGAGAAGCGCACCTGGGGAATGGCAGACACAGGGTTTCACATGCAAGATTCACAGGGACACAGGGACCCACACAGGAAGTGGGGGTGGGAGGGTGAGAAATTAGCTACAAAACATTTGCTGTGTGTTCCCTCACCGCCGACCACAGGTGTCAGACTCACTCCGGGCACCGCCCCGAGCCACACCTCCCTCTCTACCCACAGGGGCCCACTCTTGCAGAGGATTGCAGGACCGTGACTGCAGCCCTAGGAGAGGGCGACGCAACCCTCTGTAACACACGGGGGACCCAGGAGTCCCGCCCAGTACCTAGGACTCCAGAACCTGCTCTCTATGTGTCCATATTCAGAGCAACTCCAGCACCAAACAAAACAAAAGTAAACAAAAACGAATCTGTGCCCACAGTAGCACCCACCTTTCTATCCTTTTGGGGAGTTTCAGGGTCCCGATCCTGGGTGAGGGTCTCTGACAACCTGAGCCTCCTCTGCAGTCGGAGGGGCAGCTTAGGAGCAGCCCAGGGAGCCGGGGGCTTCTGTCCAGGGACATAGATGGCCACCGCGAGGGGGCGGGGCTCAGCTCCAGCCCAGGCCTCAGCAGCGTGCTCTTCCCTTGTCCCCCCTCCAGGTGGGGCTGTCCGGGCCCTCCCCGGGCCCCCCCGGAGCTGAAGGGAGGAGCGCGGGCCCCAGTCAGCCTCTCCGTCTTCCTCAGCTGCTCCTGAATCACCTGTGTCCTGGTTCTCCTCCCACTCATCTTCCCCCTCTGTGTCCTCTCCAGGCCGGTACACCCAGGCCCTCAGGAAGGGGCCGGTGGAGGAGGAAGCCTCAGCTTCTCCCTCTTCTGCTGAACCTGAATTTCTGTCCCCATCTTCCTCCTCCTCCTCTTCCTCTGTGTCCTCTCCTGGCCGATACACCCAGGCTCTCAGAAAGGCATTTGTGGTAGGGGTAGGAGAATCCTCTGATTCTCTCTCTTCCTCAGCCCATCTGGAATCCCAGTCCTCATCTTCCTCCTCCTCCTCTTCCTCTGTGTTCTCTCTGGGTTGATCCTCACAGGTCCCAAGCAGAAGCCCCTGGGTGGGAACTGAGGGCCATGGCTCTGGGTCAGCTTCTCCTTTTTCAGCTGCTTCTCTGGCCTGTGAGTCTTTCTCAGCTGCTCCTCCTGAGCAAGTCTGCCAGGCCAAGGGGCAGGAGCCCAACCTCCAGGGAGAGATGGGGGTCTCCCCAGCTTCTTTATTTTCTGTTTCTTTGTCCTCCGTGGCTCGCCTCTCTTCCTCCCCTGGGCAACACAGCCAAGTGCTGGGCTTGAGTCCTGGGGCCAAAGAGGAAGCAGAGGTGGCACCAGCTTCTTTGTTGACAGCTTCCCTGTCCTCCTCCTCCCTACAGGGACCACCCTGGCAGTGTGATGAAAGATAAGACGACTTGGACTCTCTCTCCTCTTCGGCAGCTTCCCTTCCTTCAGCCTGCTCCTCTTCGGGGCTCTTATCAGGACCTTGCAGGGCACTTAGCAGCAGGCTGGGGGACAGGGGTGCAGGCTGGCCGTGTGTGAGTTCCCTTGGTGGCTGCCTGTCTGCTTCTTCCTCGATGTACTCTACATCCTCACCACAGGAAGGTCCCCAGGCTTCAGGAGCAGAACTGCTGGCTTTCAGGTCGAGGCTGGGCCCTGTTGCTGCCTCTCCATCCCCCTCCTCAGGGGCTCTGCTGTCTCCCTCCACTCCAGCTTCTATCTCATCTGCTCCTATTCTGTCTTCAAGCAGCCAGGACTGTTGGGGTCCTGGGCCCCTCAGGAGGCTCCAGGCCCAGCTCAGGAAACCCATCAGCGGGGACAGTAGGTACAAGGAGTGGGCATCCCGCCAGGGCCCGGTGTGATGAGGCACTTGGCCTGGGGCCATCTGTCTGGGCTGGGAAAAAGGGAGAAAAAGAAATAAATAAAGTTTAAGAGCCATTTTGAGAATGGCATCGGGGCATGACCCTGAGTCACAGCCAGGAAAATAGCAACACACATGTGAACATGAGTAACCCTGCCTCAAATTCCTTTGTAATCCCGGCGCGCCCATTCCTATCATTCATTCCCTTCTCTGCTGAATCCCCAGGAATTTGCATCCCCAGTTCTTTCCTCTTTTAGATCCAAAAGTCCAAGACCCTGGCCCTCCTTCCTCAGAAGATAGTTCTATCCCTAATAACAAAGACATTTCACTTATTGTCTTTGGGAACCAAGTCATAGTTCCCATTTCTCTCATCTTTGTGAACAGAACAGGCTTCCAACACCTTCCTCGCCTGGTCGCAGAAAACATTTTGACCCCAGGAGGATTCCTTCTCTAGGGACCCAAGAGCCAGGGCTGCCACACTGCTCCTCCCTCAGCCTTTGGAGCCCGGCCCCTGCCCTGCCTGAGTCCGGGTCCTCACGTCATTCTCAAACTGCAGAGTCCACCGCTTCTTGCCCCTCTCCAGACCTTGGAGTCCAGGCTCCCGGATCCTCCTCCTTCCCCACCTCCAGGAGACCTGGGCCTGAGCTCTCCGGTCTCGGAACTACAAGTGTCCTCCTCTTTACGGACCGGGAGTCTGGCCTCCAGCCCCAGCCTCTTATGGGTCTCCTTTGGGTTCCTCTCCCTTCACTCACCGGAGGCACTGAGCGTCACCCTGGGGGCAGGAGCGCGGGTTCGGACTGCCAGAAGCGATCGCAGGTCCAGAGGGCTCGGGAGGCCGGCGTGTTCATCTCGCCTCGGGCGTCGATCTGGAGGGCTTTAAGTATCACAGCTGCCGCAGGCGCTGTCGCGACAAACGGACGAAGAGTAGCTTAGCGTGTCGCATGTAAATATCCACAAGGTTGCGACTGAATCGGATTAGCAGTGACGCCGCCGCCTGGTGTTTATAGCCCCGCTCAGCTGACGCGCTGACATCACAGTGGAAGGCGGAGTTTTGGAACGTCAGTGGGTGGGGCTGGAAAAAATACCCGGACTTTTAGGGAACCTTCCGGGGCTTTGTGACGTCATGGAGGCGTTTTGAGCGTGGTCAAGCGCCGAAGTAGCAAGCTGTCAATCAAGAGTTTACCCTGTGTGGTTGGCAAATGGGCCCTTTAACTCTATTCTGGTCCCAAGCCATCCTACCCCAATTATATTTATTCATTTATTTATTTATTTATTTATTTTTGAGACAGGGTCTCACTATGTAGTTCAGGCTGGCCTTAAACTCACTATGGAGCCCAGGCTGGCTTCAAACTCATAATGAACCTCCTGCCTCAGCCTCCTGAGTGCTGGGATTACAGGTGTGAGCCAACATGTCCTGCCCACCCCAATGTAAGCAGCCGACAGACTCTAGACTAGATTCTCCCACCTTCTCACGTGATTGACTTTCTCTCAGAGTTGGAGGTAGGACATTTCTCGCATTCACAGGTGAGGAAACAGTGTTAGCAATGAAGGCTTTTTAATTTGAGACAGGATCTCGCTATGTAGTTCAGGATGGTCTTGAACTCACTATGTAGTCCAGGGTGGCGTTGAACGCACATCGATCCTCCTGCCTCAGCCTCTGGAGTGCTGGAATTACAGGCATGCACCACCATTCCGGCCCAATCTCATTGTTAATGGGAACAAGAACCTGGGAGTACTCCTGCCTCTCTGAGGACCTGGACTGACCCTCCCCAGCCTTATACAATCAAAGCTATGCTTCCACATCTGTCTCACCGCAGCTCAGGAGTCCTGACTCCTAGCTCCCACCTTCTTGGGCACCCACAAATCTGGAATCCTAACCCCAATCCTTCTCTGGGCTCTGGCATCTGAGCACTAGTCCTGGGCCAGACCAAACCCCCTTTCTCTTGGGGCCAGTGGCCCAGGCCCCAACCACAACAACGGAGAGCTCTGAGATCAAGCCTCTTCTGCAGACCCCAAGGAGTCCCAGTGACAGCCCCATGGGGTCCTGGGAGTTGGGCCCCAGCCCCTCCCCTGAGCTGTGGGTGCTGCAGAGCCAGGGGTCAGGCTGTGAAGCCAGCAGGGGCGGGGACAGCCAGGATTGGGAGGGGAGACAACAGCGTGGGAGGGTGGCAGAGGAAGGGAAAGACCAGTAGAGAGGAAAGAGAAACGGGAACTGGAGGAAGAGAGAAAGTGAGGAGGAGAATGGAAAGAGAGAGGGGGAGGGAATAACAGTCGTGGAGAGACAAGGAGAGAGAAAGAGAAAGAGTGAGGAAGAGATTGAGTGAGAGGGAGTCAGAGACTGCAGAAGAGAGAAAGTGGGAAGGAATGAGAGAGACACTCAGGCACAGACTCTAAACCTGAGAGAAAAAAGATTTGGGCTGAAGAAAGACTGGAAAGAGACAGACTGGGAAGAGAGAAATAGAAAGTGAGACTGGGGAAAGAGACGATCTAAAAGAAAAGTTGAGTGCGAGAAGGAAAAAGAGAGAGAGGAGAGAGAGCACAAGACAGTAGACAAAGCAGTGAGAGGGTGCGGGAGTGCTCAGGTGAGGACAGGGACCTGAACTATGAGGCCCAGTGCTTGAGAGACTGGGGAGGGGGGACTGCAACCGGCGCCCCTCATCCACAGCTCCTCTCCCTGTCACTGGGAGCCCAGAGCTGGGTAAGTTGCCTGCTTGGGCTGGGAGGGGGATTGGGGTGCACATTCCTGGAGCCTTGGGGTTTGGCTCAGGGCATTGGCAGGGATGTTTGGGGGCGCGTGTGGGAGGGCAGGAGACAGGTAGCCTGGGGCAGCAGGAAGGAGGCACGGAATAGGGGTCCCTGAGCACAGAGAGGGTCACATTCCTGGCCGGAGCCCAGAGGGCAGGAAGAAAGGAGTCCCTATTCCCAGCTGGGTGCAGACAGCTGCCCCCTCCCCGCAGCTGCCAGCGACGCCCACCTCTCTGGCACTGCTCTTGGTATGCAGTCCAGGCCACGGCCTCCCCCAGCCCCCAGCCCCAGACAACAGGCTCTTTCTCCTCAGCCTCCTCTGACCTCTGAGCCCCTGACCCGGTCCCCGTGCCCAGCAGGGTCGGCTGCAGAGCCTCAGCTCCTCTCTGCCCCGGGGCTGGATGGAGGAGGGCCGACCTCGGAGCAGCCTCAGCCTGGCCAGCAGCGCCTCCACCCTCTCTTCGCTCAGCACCCTGAGCGCCAAGGTGCGTGCTTCCTGGCGGGCCTGGGGAGGACTCCCGGCTCTGGGCCACTCTCTGTACCCCCTGCTTTGTGCCACCCGAGGGCCTCGGGTTTTTAAGGATTAGGATCCTCAGAATGGGCTCAGCAGCTGCTGGGAATCTGCAGCCACTCCCAGCTCGGTCCCCACCCCTCCCATTTTCCTAACTCTCAGCTAGAGTAATGACTTTGGCTGCTGACCGAGCTGCCACTCCCCAGCCGAGGGCCCCTTGTTACCAAGATGTGTGACTACCATGGTGAGGGCTGGGGACACCCTGTCCTGTCTCTGTCCCTGTCCTCTGGCCACTCAGGAAAGCCAGCAGGAAAGACTCCTCTTGACCGAAAGGCCCTTGGGATGCCGAGCTACTTTCATCCCCATGTCACCCTGGCCCCACGTTCATTGAGGACACCCATTTTCATGTTCTCTTGCCACTTCCGGCATCCCAAGTTAAAAACCCGGCCACTCTGTCCCAGCCTCGGGCAGCAGCGCCTCCATGGAGGGGCATCCTGTGGCAACCTTGTTCTGTGGCGACCCCATCTGAGCCAGGCAGAGGGATTTAAAGCCCCACTTTGGCCATGCTTGCTGGGGTTGTGACAGCCCAGCACTGAGCCATCCTGCTGATGGGACCGTTGACAGTCCCAGTTCAGATCCCTAAGGCTCTACCTCTCCCTGGCCTTTGTGGCGAAGGGCATCCTCTTCGTGGCAGTGGGCCCCTGATTCCCAGAGTTCTCCCCCTCCTTGTTTGGCCCTGAATCCCTCCCTCCACCATCAAGTAGTCGCTCTACTCTGCACCATGAACAGCCCACAGCGCTGGACTCAGCCCTCCCTGCCTGGCTCTCATGGTCACCTCTGGCCAGCGCCTCCCATGTGAAGCCTGGTTCACTTCTGCCCCTTCTCTCTGCAGAAGCCGGCCCGGGCAGTAAACAAGGTCCACACCTTTGGGAAGAGGAGCAATGCGCTCCGAAGGGACCCCAACCTGCCTGTACACATCCGAGGCTGGCTTCACAAGCAGGTGGGGTGAGCTGGAAACAGAAGGATGCTGGAGGCTGTGCCCCCCACTGTCTGCTTCTTTCCTTCCGGGGTCCCACGTGTGCTTCTTTTTTGCTATCCCTGCCTCTCCCCTTCTGTCATTGTTTCATTCATTCATCTATTCAGTACTATTTCTTGAACACTAATCAAGGGGACATATCATAAAAGTACATATGTTACACTCAAGGTTAACACAGGGAGAGGGATAGCTAGGTGTGATGGTTCACACTTGTAATTCCAGCATTCAAGAGGCTGAGGCAGGAGGACCTCGGTGAATTCAAGGCCAGCTATGTAATGAGTTCTGTGCCAGCTTGAACTACATAGTGAGACTTGAAAGCCCAATGGTCCTGCAGGAGCAAGAGCAGGAGCCAAAATCCTCATATCTAGAGCAAGCCAAGTAGAGAGAAACTGGTGGGGTAGCAAGGCAGTGGTTCTCAGCCTTGGTATGGAGACCAACAGTAACAGGATTCCTGGGGAACTCAGTAGAAATGCAAACGATGAGGCCCCACCCCAGCTCTACTGAATCAAAAACCCTGGGGAGAAGCCCAGAAATCTGTGGTTTGTTTGTTCGTTTATTTAGACAGGGTCTCCATATGTCCGCTGGCCTTGAACTCACTATGTAGTCCTGGCTGGCCTCAAACTCAAGGTGATCCTTCTGCCTCAGCTGCTATCACACTTGGGTGCTTGTTTGGTTTTTGAGACAAGGTCTCGCTGTGTATCAGAATGGCTTCGAACTCACTATGCAGAATCTGTGTCACTCAGCCACAACACACTCACTTCTGGCTCTCTCTCTGAATCTGTTGAATCAAACACTCCTCTGCCTCCCTTCTCCTTGGTCTCTATCAGCCCTGTGACACTTCTCGATCTCTGTCCCTCATGTCTGTGCCTCTCTCCCATCTCTACAGGTCTCTTTCTCCTCCCTCTGTGCCCACTTTCTCCTCTCCTTTCTACTCAGGCCTTCCTCCCATCTCTCTCCCTAGGACAGCTCTGGGCTCCGGCTCTGGAAGCGCCGCTGGTTCGTCCTTTCTGGCCATTGCCTCTTCTATTACAAGGGTCAGTGGCCCAGCTGGATGGGCGGGAAGGTACGGGCCACAGCCACACTTCCCTCTGCCTCCTGGCCTCCTGATACCTTTGTGATCCCTGACCCCAGCTCCCTTTGCAGACAGCCGCGAGGAGAGCGTGCTAGGCAGCGTCCTGCTCCCCAGCTACAGTGTCCGGCCAGATGGGCCCGGAGCCCCCCGAGGGCGACGCTTCACCTTCACCGTGAGTCCCTTCATCCTCCACGGTACCAGCTCAGGGATGGGCACCGGAAGGGGAGGTGGGCGTGCATTGGAGACCCCATTACTGGGGCTAAAAGGTCTTGACCAGGGTCCACGGCCGGCGTCCTGTTGTTTAGAGGGCCCTCTGCTCCCGCAGGCAGAGCACCCGGGCATGAGGACCTACGTCCTGGCGGCTGACACCTTGGAGGACCTGCGGGGCTGGCTGCGGGCCTTGGGCCGGGCCTCCCGCGCGGAGGGTGACGACTGGTGAGTGACGGTCCGGGCCACGCCCCTGACTTCTTTTCTGAGCAGAATCATCCCAAACTTCTCCCTCGTGACCCCTTGGATGTCCAATCACTCATCTTCTAGCCAAGGGGATTCCTTCTTTCAGCCCCCCTCCCCCAGGGAACTTCAGTCCTTCCAATCAAAAAGTCTTTTGCTTTAAGCTCCGCCCACCAGCCTGTCTAGCCTTGCAGCACAAATCTGACCCACACTCGGGCCCAAGAATTATCCATATGTCACACACTCTGATTGGGTGCTTCAGAAATCTCCATCCCTTGAGGCTGACCCCTAAGCAATAGCAGCTGAAAGATCAGATTTTTTGAAAAAAATGGCAGACTATCTCTTAGGCTCTGTCCCTGCCTTTTCCAGTTTTCAGCCTGGAGACTCCACTCCCTGGTTCAGTCTTTCTCGTAGTCCAGGAGATTTGGTCTTGGACCTGGTGGCCCTGTACAAATCACTTCCACATCCGTGGCCTCAGTTTCCAAATCTGCAAAAAGAGTGCAGGGATGGACAGCGTACTGTTTCCCCTTTTGGGGTGGGTTGCTCTGTCTGCATCTGTGAAGAGACTAGGGCTGTAATGAGGGTCAGGGGAGTGATGTCTCTTTCTGTGCCCACTTGTTAGTGGGCCACCCAGGTCACCCCCTCGCCCCCAGCCTGGGGAGGGCCCTGGTGGCCCCGGGGGTCCTCCGGAGGTGAGCAGAGGGGAAGAGGGGCGCATCTCAGAATCATCAGAGGTGGCTCGGTTCTCCAGAGGTCGTGACCCACCCGGGCTGCTGGCTCCCAGCCCCACCGCGGACCTCCAGTCTGGACCCAGGGGTCGCAGGACCAGGAGCCCGGAGTGAGTTGGGCCGAGTGGCCTTGAGGGCGTGGCCTAAGCGGAGGGCGGAGCTGGGGAGTGGTTGGGGCGTGGCTTAACATTTTCTGCTTTACTACTTGAGAGTTGCTGGGGTTCCTGTGGGGTCACAGCCTATGGGGAGAAGTTCTGAGGAGATCCCACGAAGGAGACATTAGCCAGGATCTGCCCCGCAGAGGGGCATTCTACTCCACAGCGACAGAGAGAACCCTGAAGCAAGATGCCCTTTAGGCTGACGTGAAAGGCAGAGAGGTGGATGGGGGTGGCTCTAGTTGACTCAGTTCCCCGATTCTCTCCTTCCCACAGTCTGTTCGCGCCCCTCTCTCGCCCTCCCTCCCCGCTGAGTCTTCCCCGACCCTGGTCCGCTCCTGCGCAGCGACTCTCGCCCTCCTCAGGAGACAGAGCGCTCCCTGCCCGACCTCACACCCCTTTGAGTCGCATTGATGTCCGGCCTCCTTTTGATTGGGGGCCTCAGCGACAGACTCTTTCCCGGGCCCCCACACCCCGCCGAGGACCCTCCTCTGAAGCTGGCGGAGGGCGGCGTCCCAGAAGCCCCCAAAACTGGAGTCAGGAGCCCAGAACACAGGTGAGTGGAGGGGAATGAGGGACTACATTTCCCATGAGCCATCGGGACTATCTTTCCAGGATGACCTTTTCCAGGCCGATGCCCCTAGGCCTCATGGGGATTGTAGTACCTAATGTATCATGCTATTTTCTCCGATCCTTCTGGATTTATAGCCCAGAATATCATAGCTAATTCTTATCAGCTTGTGGGCTGCTTTGCCAACCTAGACCACTTATTAGCATACTCTAAGGGTAGTTCAGAAAATTGGGGATCTCAGTTCTGAACCTGAGTCTCCTAGGCCTTTCTATTCTGAGCATACCTACTGTGATATCTGATACTAGGATGAAGCAATTTCTAAACATCTCTAATTCATTATTCCCCCCAGGTTCCCTCTGGCTCCTCCACTTATCTCCAGCTACCCCCAAGACCCCCTGGGACCCGGGCATCCACGGTTTTATTGGTAGGTATCCTGCCACTCCCAGAATCTACCAGAGTCTCTTCTCTTGCTTTCTTTGCTAGGAGAAATGTTATTTCCTGGCCTAGGAGCTTCAGAAAACTAGGTATTCCACGGTCCTCGAGTAGGTGGTTGTGTTTGTTTCCTGTGGCTGCTGAAACAAAGCACCACAAACTGGGTGGTTTAAAACAACTGCAGTTGGTTTTGCCACCCTCTGGCTGCAGAAGTCTGAAGTTGAGGTGGCAGCTTGTCCAAGGCCATGCTCTTTCTGAGGGCTCTGAGGGGGGATCTGCCCAAGCTCCTCTCCTAGGTCCGGGTGTTGGCAAAACCCTTGCAGTTCTGTGGCAAGTATCATCCCATCCCTGGTCCCTGCCTCTATGATCATGTGACCCTCTTCCTTTTGTCTATCTTTGTCTCTCTGTCGCTGGGTTCTGGAGTTCTAGGGATGCCTTCTAGAGAGTCTTTCTAGGTTCTTCTTGTCCTGAACAAAGAATTTGGACAAAACAAACACAAAAGGTAGTGAAGTTTTACATTTATTAAAAGTAGGAAGCCATGGGGCCAGGGATTTAGCTCAGTGGTTTCGCCACCTGCTGCACAAGTGCAAGGACCCAAGTTCGATCCCTGGTACCAAAAAAAAAAAAAAAAAAGTAGGAAGCCAGGTGTGGTGGTGCATGCCTGTAATCTCAGTGCTTGGGAGGCTGAGGCAGGAGAATCATTGCTAGTTCAAGGCCAGCCTGGGTTACATAGTGAGTTCAAGACTGGCCTGAACTACATAGTGAAACCCTGCCTCAAAAAACAAATAAACAAAAATTATTAAAAGTAGGAAAGGAAACATACCTTCAGAGTGAGTTAGGGCCAACTAAAAGTAGGAAAAGAAGTATACTCTACGGGGTAAGAGCAGACCACAGTAAGGAGAGTGTGTGGTGGCCAAGAGCACAATGGCGGCCATCTTTGTACCTTCCACTCCTCAGGCTGACTTCAGTCTTCACTGTCCTATCAGAAACCTGCTTGAATTCTTGAGAGAAGAATTGCCAGGTGCAGGGCTTGGGTACCTATACTAGTCACACCCACTTGCCCAGCCAACTGGCCACACCCTAATCTCCCGCCTCATCTGTGTCTCCTTGTATAAGATTTCACTGTGACTTATGTCCTAGGACAAAATTAACACAATTCACTTTAACAAGCTTAGGGGCTTTATTTTTGAATCTAGACTTAGACAACACTTTATTCCCAAAATAGAGTTAAGTGCTGGGCGTGGTGGTACACACACCTGTGATTGAAGCACTCCAGAGGCCGAGGGAGGAGGATCATTGAGTTCAAACCCAGCCTGTGCTACATAGTTCAAGGCCAGCCTGGAATATATAGTGAGACCCCGTTTCAAAAAACAAAACAAAAAAGAACAAAAAAATTCCCCTAAATAGAGCAAGTGATCCAATGGGCTGAACAGACAAAAAAAGGTTGATGCACACCTATGATCCCAGCTCCTGGGGAGGCACAGTAGGAGGATCATAAGTTCAAGATGAACCTCAGCAGCATGAAGCTTTGTTTCAAAAAAGGTGGGGGAGGTCCGGGGATTTAGCTTAGTGGTTCAGCTGCCTGCACAAGGTCCCAAGTTCGATCCCCATACCAAAAAGGGGGGGGGGCATTGGTCATTTTGAAGTTACTTTCTTTGTGAGGATTGGACAAGGAGAAAGAACAATAGAAAAATAACTGATTAGTTAACATTGGATTACTTCAGTTCTTTGGTTTTCTTCTTTTTTACTCGTACTAGGGATTGAACCTACCTAGGGCCTTTGCACAAAGCTACATCCTCAGCCCCTTTAAAAATTTTTTTTAAATTTTGAGATAAGTTCTCATTAAGTCACTAAACTACCCAGGTTGGACTCAAACTTGTGATCCTCCTGCCTCAGCTTCCCAGAGTGCTGGGATTTATAGGTGTGCACCACCATGCTGGGTAATTAAGTTTTTAAAATTTTATTTAAAATTTTAAAACAAGGTTCTCCATAAATAGCTAAGTTGCCCAGGCTGGGCTAGAAATTGTGGTCCTTCTATCCCAGTCTCTTAAGTAGTTTGTCAGGTTACTTGTTTTGTGTAAGGAATAAAGAGAGGGAAGTTCCTTATCATGTCAAATGAAATTGGCCTGTTTTCCCTGGCATGGTGGTATACACCTGTCATCCCAGCATGAGAGGCTGAGGCAGAAGGATCACTGTGAGTCCGAGGGAAGCCTCAGCTACATAGTGAGTTCAAGACCAGCCTAACTACATAGTAAGACCTTGTCTCAAAATAAATAAATAAATTAAAAAAAAAAAAAAAGAGGTGGTGCCTGTCTCGAAAGCACAAGGTCCAGAGTTCAATCCCTGGTACCAAAAAAAAAAAAAAAAAAAAGAGGGGCTGGGGATTTAACTTATGCCTGGCACCTCCAAGGTCCTAAGTTTGATTCCTGGTACAAAAAAAAAGAAAGAAAGATATTAGTCTGTTTTGGAAATGTGGCTATTATCTCTATAATCCTGATTTCTCAGAAGGTCAGATAAACAGCTTATTACTTCCAGCTTCAAGATGTGGAACTTTCATTTTAGCAGGTCTGCTGGAGCCCAGGGCAGGCATCTGTTACCAATGGCCTCTTGTAATTTTCTTCTAAGTTTTTGGGGTTTTTTTTGGTACGGGGGATCGAACTTGGGTCCTTGCACTTGCGCAGCAGGCATAGAAACCACTGAGTTAACTCCCTGGCTATCTGTAACTTTTATTTAACACTTACACCTGCAAACATTCTATTTCCAGATAAGGTCCCGTTCTCAGGTATTGGGGAAGGGACTTGGACATATCTTTTTGGAGTACGTGAGTTAACTCACCAAGAAGCGAAGGCTTTTCAGATTGCGGGGGGGGGGGGCTTTCCGGGCAAGGAGGACCCTTCTGTGCCCTTCAGGAGATTCCTGTGATAAGGGAGGGAGAGAAGCAGGGGGCTCTGGTCCTCAGAGAAAAGGTCCTGCCAGAGGAGATGGCTCGAATCTGTAGTCCCAGCACTTGGAGGCTGAGGCAGGAAGATCACTGCAACTTGGAGGCTAGCCTGGGCTAGCTACATAGTGAGTTCAAGGCAAGACCCTGTGTCAAGAAGAAAAAAGACATAAATGAATAAATGAGTAAATAAAGTTTGTCCATTAATTATATTTGCTATGTATTTTTTTAGAAGCAGGGTCTCACTGCATAGTTCAGGTTGGCCTTGAACTCACAGTGATCCTCCTACCTCAGCCTCCAGAGTGCTGGGATTATAGGTGGGCACCAAGACACCAGGCTTCTTAGTTACTCTTATCTTGGTACATGCAGAGTTGAAAGTTCATGGTACCCCAAGAAGACAGATGCAATGTGAAAGCAGAGAGCTGTTTTCCTGGGTTGCACTGTCCATCAGACATCTGCAGGCCCAAGGAAATAGTGGTTTTGGCACCAAGCTTCATTAAGGACCCACCTGGCCCCTGTGACCCCTGACTTTTCTCCTCCTTCTAGCCAGGTCCCCTGCTGGACTCAACCCTCCACCAAAGCTTGGAGACAGATGTAAGTTCCCGGATACAGCCCTTCCTGGGGTCCCAGAGCTGGGGAGAGGATGTTCTAGATGGTGTGGGGAGGGGATGACCCAAGTAGGGTCTCTGAATGGCTCCTCCTCTCCTTTCTGCAGAGCCTGCTGACCAAACTGTGCGGTCAGGACCGGCTCCTGAGGAGGCTGCAGGAGGACATCGACCAGAGGCAGGAGGAGAAGGTGCTGGGCTGAGAGCATGGCCACTTTGCCGCCAGGCTGTGGCTCCGGAAGTCTGATCGCCTCCTCTCTTCTGCAGGTGCAGCTAGAGGCCGCCCTGGAGCTGACCCGGCAGCAGCTGGGCCAGGCCACCAGGGAGGCTGCCACTCCTGGCAGGACCTGGGGTCACCAGCGCCTCCTGCAGGACCGCCTGGTCAGCGTGAGGGCTGCCCTGTGTCACCTGACTCAGGTGAGAGGCTGAGGGGTCCTCCCAGGACGGGGTTCTGGAGAGCTCCATCGCTCCTGCTGTGCAGTAACCTTGGTCATCTGGGAAGCAGCCAGCAAGAGCAGAGTCTCTGGGTGGTTTCTTTTTCTTGTTAGTTTTATTTGTAGTGCTGGGGATTGAACCCAGGGCCTTCACACAGAGCTACATCCCCAGCCTTTTAAAATTTTTTATTCTGAGACAAGGTCTCAGGGCTGGGGGTGTAGCTTAGTGATAATGGCCCTAGGCTCCATTCCCAGTACAGAGAGAGATGGACAGACAGACAGACAGATAGACAGAGAGAGCTAAGTGACTAAGTTGCCCAGGCTCGGCTTGGTTTTGGGATCTTTCTTTTTTTTCCCTTTCAAGTCTTTTTTTAAGTTTATGTTTATATCTCTTGATCTCCTATTTCTTTTTGCCACCCTTTGGCTCTTTTTTTATTTTTTTGGTGCCAGGAATCAAACCCAGGGCCTCCCACTTGCCAGCCAGGTGCTGTGCTACATCTCCCTTTCTTTCTTTTTTGGTGGTGTTTTCTTTTTATTAATAGCAAAACATTTACTAGTACATTTTTTTTTTTTTTGGTACCGGAGATCGAACTTGGGACCTTGCGCTTGCGAGGCAGGCGCCGGAACCACTGAGCTAAATCCCCAGCCCTTACTAGTACATTTTAGGCATACGTAATGCTAACACTCACTGTGGGGAATGTGCACCTGTACATGGTACATCCCACCTCTTTTTTCCCATTCCAACCCATCCTCAAGTCCCCTCCCCTCTCTATGTACAAAAGCTTTGTTTCCATTTTTTCCTTCTATTTTTCATTTTTTTTGTGTGTCCCTTCCTTCCTTTCTCCCTTCCTCTTCCTTTGTTCCCCTTCCCATTTGAACATTTTCTTCCCATTTCTGGTTTGGGATCGTTCTGCCTCAGCCTCCCAGAGTACTGGGCTTTTTTTTTTGGTGGGGGGGCAATTGGACTAGGGCCACATCAGCAGGTGACTTTGATTGGGTTCCCTGGGTTTGCCTGAGCTACCACCCCCCTCCCAGTAGCTGGATGACCTTAGAAAAGTCATTTCAGCTGGATGTGGTGGCACCTGCTTGCAATCCCAGGATTCTGGAAGGCTGAGTCATGAGGATTGCATCAGGGAAACTCTGACTTGTCCACACTAAAGACACTCCCTGGAATGCAGGTTTCATATTGACTCTGGAGTTCCCCTAGGCCCAGCACAGCGGCCCCAGGGTGTCTTGGCCCAGGCCTCCCCTCCACCCCTAGGTCTGGAGAAGATGGGGAAAGATCTGGAGAATAGGCTGCTGACTTGTGTTTCCTCCTTTCTGTGACCTGAGGAGCGAGAGCAGGTTTGGGACGCGTACAGAGGCCTGGAGCAGGAGCTGGGCACCTTACGAGAGACCCTGGAGTACCTGCTGCACCTCGGGTCCTCCCAGGTACATCCTCCCTTCGCCGGGCCCAAGCCCAGCCTCAGACCCAAGGGAAATCCTTGGGCAGTAAGCCTTTCCCACAGAGCCGAAGCCCCGCCCACTCAACCCAATCCCAGTCCCTCAATCCTTTATTCTATGCTCTTTTTTTTGTACCGGGGATCAAACTCCTTGCAAAGCAGGCGGCTAAACCACTAAGCTAAATCCCCAGCCCTCTAAAATCTTTATTGTAGTTGAGACCTACCTTTTGGCTATAACTGCACTGCCCTCCATTCTAAATCTCTCCTCCGTGTGGAAGCCCTGCCCCCATTGGCCAAGTTCTTGTCTGGCGACATGCTTCCTGACTGTTGCTGTTAAATTTATCCTCTAGAAAGACAAAGAAAAAAACAAAAGAAGTCTATTCCTTACTGCACAAGCAGCACCTAAAATATAAAACCCCTTGCTTAGCCTCTGATTTAGTTCTTCATTCTACGCCGACTTAGGTAGTTCTAAATCATATATCTTTAGATCACAACACTGACTTCTCATCTACGCAAGAGGCTGAGGCAGGAGGATTGCAAGTTCGAGGCCAACCTGGGCCACTTAGGAGACCATGTCTCAAAACTAAAAGTAAATAAAAACAAACACACCTGGGAAAAAAAGAAGAAAAAAATAAATAAATAAATAAAGGGGGTGGGAATGTGGCTTAGTAGTAGATTGCTTGCCTAGGCTATTCAATCTCCACCACTGCAGAAACAAAACAGAGACAAACAATAGTTTGTAATGATGACAAAAATTTAAATACTTAAGAATAAATCTAGTGAAAGATATGCAAGATATCTCCTCTGGTTTTTTATTGTTTTTTGGTTTTTTTGGTACCGGGGATTGAACTCAGGACCTTGCGCTTGCAAGGCAGGCGCTGTAACCACTGAGCTAAATCCCAGGCCCAAGACCTCTATTCTGAACACCACAAAACATCATCAGTATGGGGCGGGGATTTAGCTCAGTGGTTACGGTGCCTGCCTTGCAGGAGCAAGGTCCCAAGTTCGATCCCCGGTACCCAAAAAAAAAAAAATCATCAGTAGACATTAAAATCTAGAGATGGAGAGGTTTACATGTTCATCAGTAGGAACGACAACAAGGTAAAGATGCCTGGATGGGGACCTGTCACCCTGGTACGGATTTGGAAGAGTTTTCTGTAGATTGACAGGGGATCCTAAACTGTTGATAAAAGTGTAGAAGGCCAGAAATCACCAAGACACCATCCTGAGGACCAGCACACCTGGATGTCACCTCCCTTGGATGAAAACGCCACAGTTACTAAGACAGCAAATGTCCTGTGGCCAAGGCTTAGAGAGGGGGACAGCTGGATTAGAAGCGGGCGTCAGGGGTGGGTTTTTTTTTTGGTACCGGGGATTGAACTCTGGTCCTTGTGATTGCAAGGCAAGCGGCGAAACCACTGAGCTAAATCCCTGGCCCTAGAAGCAGGGGTCAGAGACCTACTCCTGGATATTTACCTAGCCTCTGAGACTGAAGAGGCGCTGAGGAGCAGGAGAGAAAAGACAGTCTCCTCACTTCCGTTGGTCCCATGGGGGGAAAAATCCTGACTCCATAAACTGTGCCCCAGTTCAGATCCTTTGGGGAAGAGGAGCTGGAACCCTCCTGGAATTTCCCACCTTCAGTAACAGCCCTTTCCCTCCCCAGGACAGAGCGTCGGCCCAGCAGCAGCTGTGGATGGTGGAGGACACGCTGGCAGGGCTGCGGGGCCCCAAGAAACCGCCCCCCGCCACTGAGCCTAACTCCCCTTCCCCTGCGCTCCAAGGCGAGGAGTCCTCTGAGAGGGAGGTGAGGCTCACATCTCTCCTTCCCCAGCTTCCCGTCCCATCTGCCCCTGCCCAACACATTCCCCTGCTCTTTCCTCTCCCTTGATCAGCCAGCCAATTTTTGTTGTTGTTTCTTTGTCAAGTTTTGAGACAGAGTCTCCCTGTGTAGTTCAGGCTGGCCTTTAACTCACTGTGTAGCCCAGATGGGCCTCCAACTTGCAGGGATCCTCCTGCCTCAGCTTCTCAAATTGTGGGGTTACAGGCGTGTGCCTGCAATGGACTGGGGATATGAGTTAGTGGTGGAGGACTTGCTTGGCTTTCACAATGCCAAGTTCAATCCCTAGAAACACACACACACACACACACACACACACACACACACACACAAAGGCTGGGTGTGGTGGCTCATGCCTGTAATCCCCGAACCCGAAAGCCTGAGGTAAGAGGATCGCCATGAATTCAAAGCCAGCCTGGGCTACATAGCAAGACCCTGTTTCAAAAAAAATATAACAAAACAAAAATAAAATGAGGATTAGGTTTACAATCATACTTTTCCTCATACTGTCTCAGTTGCTGAAAAGGAGCAATGATGACATGACCATCGTCACCAATCCGCTCCCCCATCCCCTCCAGAGCCTTCCAGAGTCCCTGGAACTCAGCTCCCCGAGGTCCCCCGAGGCTGGCCGGGGCCGGCCCCCTGGAAGTGACAGAGACCTTGGCAGCCTGAGCTCAGGTGAGTATCCCGGTGGGGCGCTGTGTCCTGGCTCTCCTGTGCTCACCCAGGCCCCTCTGTCCTTGCAGGCCTGGCGTCTCCCAGAGTGTCCCGGGCTTCCAGCCCTGAGGGCCGACGCCCCTCCTCCCCGATGCTGGGGACCAAGGTAGGCTGTCCACGTGGGTCCTCCCACCGCTCTCGTGGCCCTGTGATCTGACCACCACAGAGCCCAATCCTGGGGACACAGCTGGGAGTGGCAGGTTCTAAAGCCATACCCAGAGCAGGGAGCTCGCTATCTGTGAGACCCCTGGCACTCATCTTGATCTCTGCTACTTTTTTGTTGTTGTTGTTGTTGCCTTTGAGACAGGGTCTCATTATGTAGTCCAGGCTGGCCTTACACTCCCTGTGTAGCCCAAGGTGGCCTAGAACTCTCGGCAATCCTCCTGCCTCAGCCTCCCAAGTGCTGGGATCACAGATATGTGCCACTACACCCAGCCATGTCCTCAGTCTTGAAGGAGGATGCAACAGACCAGGCAAACTTAGGGATAATAAACCTTGCATCTCTAGTTTTTAGACACAGACTCCATAACTGATTAACCTGCCTAGGGCATGTAGAGTTGAGCAGGAATCCGATCCCACATTTGAATAAAGCAATCCAAAATAAAATGTGGGCAGAGGCGCCAAGCTTTACCTTGCTTCTGGTTACCCATTGAGCATCTTCAAGTCCAGCTCTAACAATGAGACGATTAAGAGAGTCCAGGACCTCCAGTGGTTGCAAATAGTACCCGGATTTAGTGAGTGCTTTATTCATTCTTCATCACCTGGGCTTTTCACCTGCAAGGCAAGAGCTGCACCACAGTGCTCCCTGTAATCCCAGGCTCTAGGAGGTGGAGGCAGAAGGATCACAAGTTCCAGGCCAGCCTGGGTGATTTATTGAGACCCTGTCTCAAAATATAAAAAAGGCCTGAGGATGTAGCACAGTGCGAAGGCTCTGGGTTCAGTCCCCAGTACCACATGACAAAAACAAAACCCTGGGGGCCCGGGGATTTAGCTCAGTGGCACTGTGCTGGCCTGCCTCGCAAGTGCAAGGTCCTGAGTTGGATCCCCAGTACCAAAACAAAAATAAAAACAAAACTCTGAATCACTGTGGTGAACTGACTGGGAAGGGCCAGACTGCAGGTGGGGAGGGTCAGGAAGAGGAGATGAAGAGGTGCCTCTGCTCTTTGGGGTGTTTCGGGACTTCTGATCTCCCCAGGCCCCCTCCACCCGGCCCAGAATGAGTGCCCAGGAGCAGCTGGAGCGCATTCGCAGGAACCAGGACAGTGGACGGCCCCTCCTGCGCCCCGCCTCCCCCCGGCTCCTCACCCTGGGGAGGACATTGTCCCCAGCCAGATGCCAGCCTGACACGGAGCAAAGGGTGAGGGCGGGAGGGCTGGGGGTGGATGGGGGACAGTGGAGGGTCCTTACTCCTAGTGCCTCAGTTTCCCTCTGGAAAATGAGGACACTCCCTACCTCCTTGCCCTGAGCTGAGTTTCCAGATCACCCCAACTTGTGCTTGTCAGCTTCCTGGCTCTCCTACTGCTGGGTGGGCAGAGCCGTGAGGAGAAAACACAGGTGATTTCCTTCAGGGCGGGGGTCACAGACCTAGATGAGAGCCTAGTTTTTCTTTTCAGCTGCTCTGCTGTCAAAGAAAAAAAATATTTGAGCAATTAGAGCAATTGATTTTCTTCCGTATTATAACAAAGAAAGCACCCGGAACTGAAAAGCAGAGTGTTGTCAGTATCTCAGAGGGCTTCACCTTAAGACTCTTAGAGGAAGGAATTAGATAAGTCATAGGTGTGTATCCATGCGCGCACAATGTCCTCTCTGAGCGCCCTTCTTCAAAATGAGAAGGTGAGGTTTCTAGGTCAGGGCTCCAATGGCCCACTTCTTTTCCAGGCTGTCCTAGGAGCTCCAAAATGGCCCAGAAGCTCGGGGTCCTGGAGCAGGTGAGGAACTGGAGGGGCATGAAGAGAAAAACATAAATGGGGGTGCTTGGAGCAGTGTTACCCCTCCTGAGTACTGAACTACAGGTCCCAGAACTCTAATCGCCGATTGATATCCTGGGGTATCAGAAACAAAACCAAGAAGCCCTCCATCACAGTGAGAACTGCCCTTTCCAGGTCTTCTCTTGGCGGGTATCAGACCCCGCCCCTCCATCCGGGGGTTTCAGTAACATTGAGGCGCGAGTGGACTACAAATCCCATAATGGCCAGGGTCTGTGTTTAAACCCGGCAGAGATACTGCTCAGGACTACAACTCCCAGAGGGCTAAGGGCGACCGAGAACTAAACCATCCCCCCCACCCCCGGTACCCAGCACGCCCCCTGCGCCCAGCCTACCTTTTCTTTTTTCTCTCATTTGATTTCCAATCTACCTTTTTCAGTCCCAGGAACACTAGCCACTACTTGCCTACATCCGAAGGCCACAGGGAGCGGGTCCTCAGCCTGTCCCAAGCCCTGGCCTCTGAGGCGTCGCAGTGGCACAGACTGAGGACAGGTAAGGACCACTGATGGCGCACTCCTGGGTTTTAGCGTAGGGTGGTGTTGAGAGTGTGCAGGGATTGGGAATTCTGGGTCCCAGGTAGAAGGGGACCGGGGTTAGGGTCAAGAAGGGTCTAGACCAAGGTGCCTAGAAGGCTGGCAGCTGAGTCTCGGGTAGGAATGGATTATGGGTCTGGACTACTGGATCTGAGAAGGGAATGTTTGGGGCTGGATTCCTGGGTGAGAGGGAGGAGAGTTGGGGCCTGGACTCCCGGATCTGAGGGAAGAGAGGCTGAGCCTGGATCCCCAAATCTGGGAGAAGTGCCTTGCGGGCTGGATTCCTGGGTCGCAATCTCCGAGTCCTGTCCTAAAGTTTGCCGATCTCATTCCCGACTCAGCCTCTCCAGGTGGGAATTTGGACTGTCTCGATGACCTTCTCCCTTCTGTGCCTCAGTCGGACCCCACGCCCTTGGTCACCTCGCCTCCGAGATCCCCCGCAATGACCAATTCCGGTTCCACTGGATTCTCTGGGCGAGGAGGTGGGCGAGGCGGAAGTCCCTTCCCCTGGGAGCCCACCTGGGCCTCCGGGAACGCCCCTCCAGCCCCGAGCCAAGGCGAGGGGGCGTGGCCTCTGAGGGTCACTCTGTTACAGTCCAGTTTCTAGCTTGAGCCTGCGAGGGGGCCAATCAGAGCGTGGGGGCGTGGCCTGGAGGTACCGCCTGGATATCTGCGGCCACTCAGGGCACTTGGGGGTGTGGTCTGGTCTGCACCTATGGGCTGGGAGGCGCCTGGTTTGTACCTGCAGTTTGGTTTTCCCACTGTCTAAATTTGGATTAAAACTTTGAACTTTTAGTCAATAGTTTTCTTTTTTTTTGGTACCGGGGATCGGACTTGGGACCTTGAGCTTGCGAGGCTGGTGGCGGCACCACTGAGCTAAATTCCCGGCAGTCAATAGTTTTCTTTCTGTCTGTTTGGGGGTTGTAAGGCTGCCTCTTCTAAGAAGTGGAAAGAGAATCGTGGATGACTGGGTTCTGAGGAAGTGAGGAGCAGGGTCCTGGGAAGTAGGTAACAGATACCCTAAATTATTGAGTCTGAGAAAGGAAGGAATAGATAATCTGAGTCCTAGGTCAGATGGGAGGAGAGGACCAGACAACAGGAATCTTAAACTTGGGGAGGAGATGCTGGGGGCCTGGACCCAGGGTATGAGGGTGGAGGCTGGGCCTGGATTCTGGATCTGAGGTGGGGAGGCCGGTCTCTGGACTTCCTGGAAACGCCCCCAGGGTTGGGTTTACAGGGTTACAGGGTTCGGCCCTTGTTTAAACTTTGATATCGGGCCCCAGCTCTGGAGGTGGGAAGAGATCCTGGGTAAGGACAGCGAGGTGGCTGACCGAGAATGGCATCGGGAACTCGCTATGCAGGGAAGGTGGTGATCGTGACAGGGGGCGGGCGCGGCATCGGAGCGGGAATCGTCCGAGCCTTTGGTGAGCAGGGGTCTCAGGCTGGGCATTTTACAAGGTAAGGTGGGAAGGGTGGGAGGCGTGGCGTAGAGACCCTAGTCTGGATTCTTATTTTGGAAAAGTCAATTTATAGTGCTGACAGAGGGTGAGTGGTGATGGCCCAGGGCCAGAGCTTTTGGCCTGGTGTCCAAAGCAAGTTCCTCAGTTTCCGGACCTGTTACCATGGCTACCAGGGGGCAGTTGGGGAGACACGTGCCTCCAGGCTCGGGGTTTACTCGGGAACCCACAGAGGGGGGCTCTAGAGCACCAGCAGGCACGTGGCGAGGGCAACGGAGAGAGTGTTAGGTCTCTGCCCTTTGTCCCCGGGATCAAGAGACTTTGGGCTCACAAGGGGAGGACGTTATTGGCCCCAGTGTACGTGGCCACAAGAGGGCAGCACAAGTCTAACTGAAGTCTGGGTGGGGACAACCTCTTCTCTCCCTGCAGCTGACAGTGGGGCACATGTGGTCATCTGTGACAAGGATGGTGAGTGAGGGTCCCTAACCTTACCCCAGGCTCTCGCCCCTCAGACCCGGGGGTCCGGGCCCAGCGTCCCCCTCAGACCCTGGCTCCAGCCCTAGCTCTCTGTCCCTGCAGAGTCCAGCGCCCGAGTCCTGGAGCAGCAGCTCCCCGGCGCCATCTTTATCCGCTCTGATGTGACTCAAGAGGAGGATCTTCGGGTGAGCCCATCTCTGTCCTACACCCCCTACCCCGCATTTCCAACTTCTACCCCTGCCCCCCCAGCTGGCTGTGTCGCACCCGGGTCTCGCCCTTGCTGATGTCCTGTCTGCTGGTCCTGGATGCCTCTCCTGCATCATCTCTCAAAGTCTGTCTCCTGGACCAGTTTTTCCTTCCTGTTTATCAGTTTCCATCCTTTGCTGTAATCTTTTGGTTACCTATTCCCCATGTCCCTGACCCCCTCTCTGGGTCTCCATCCCTGCTCCCTGGTCTCTAGGGTGAGGACTTCACCTTAGCTCCGCCTGGCCCTCTGGGCCCCTGGACTCCTCTTTTCCTGCTGAGCTGGTGATGTGGTTGTGATCCCTGCCTCACCCCCATCTCCTGGCTCTCCCCCCTGTCCTCGTCCCATGGGCCCTGTGAGTCTGGCCCTGCTGCCACCCAGGATTCTTCCTCTTCCTTCAGACCCTGATTGCTGAGACCATCCGCCGATTTGGTCACCTGGATTGTGTGGTTAACAATGCCGGCTACCGTGAGTCCTGTGGCCCCATATCCATTCTGCCCAGCCATCTGGCCAACTCCTGGCCTCCGCTGCTGCCTCCTGCACCTCACTTTCCCCTCTCCCTGATCCCATTGGCCCCCTCCTGATCCTGCTGCACCCCGCCCGCTGTCTGTCCTCTCGGATGGGACAGTGCAGCTGTGAATGCTCATCCTTGGCCCAAGACTCTGGCTCTCAAACCGGGTGTGGTGCCACACATCTGTTATCCCACCACTCAGGAGGCTGAGGCAAGAGGATCACTGAGAGTTTGAGGCCAGCCTGGGCTGCATAGTGAATTCAAGGCCAGCCTGGAATACATAGTAGGACCTTGTCTCAAAAAACAGACCAAAAATAAAATTAAAAAACAAAACAGAAAAATCCCCACTCTGGTATCTGCTACTGGGCCGGCCTGGGCAGGTCCCTTAAGGCTTTGGAACCCGACTTTCTGGCTTGCAGAATAAAGAAAATGGAGCGTAGCTGTAGGAATTGCTGCAGAATTTATGACCACGTCTGTCCACACCCAGATGTCTGCACATCTGACTCAGCTGAGACTTCTTACCTGGGACATGGGGCTGTCCTCAGTTCCCTCTATGATCAGATGCTGCTCACGTGACTTTACCCGTCCTACCTGCTGGCTGTGTGGCGGTGTGGCCAGTGCCATAAAAGCCACCAGGAAGAATGAAGAAGGCAGAGAGGTGCTGAGGCAGTTTGGGTCACACGTCCCAGCGGCTGCCTGGAGCCTTGGAGGAAGAGGCGGCTACCCTGCTGTCTGGGGCCCCACATCGCCTCCACTTTCTGCCCTTGGTCCTGTTCCCAGCTCTCTGTCCCTTTATTACTTTTGTTTTATATTGTTTTAGTTTTTGAGACAGGGTCTTGCTGTGTAGGCCAGGCTGGCCTTGAATTCCCTACGTAGCCCAGGCTGGCCTCGAGCGCCTCCTGCCTCAGCCTCCTGAATGCTGGGATTATAGGTGCATGCCACCAGGCCTGAATAGTACCATTATTTAGGGAGAGTAAGTTTATTATTTATTTATTTGGGGCACCAGGGATCGAACTCAGGACCTTGCGCTTGCGAGGCAGGCACCGGAACCACTGAGCTAAATCCCGGGCCCCTTTATATGATCTTGTAGGAGAAATTATTTTAGTACCAGCAGAAGGCAGCAAAAGACCAAGCTAACTGTAATTGCCTTTAAGAATTACCCCAAAGGAAAAAAAAAAGAATTACCCCAAAGGGGCTGGGGATTTAACTCAGTGGCACCACGCTGGCCTTGCAAGTGCAAGGTCCTGAGTTCAATCCCCGGTACCACAGCAAGACCCTGTCTCAAAAAACAAAACAAGGGGCTGGGGATTTAGCTCAGTGGTTTCGCCACCTGCTGTGCAAGTGCAAGGACCTGAGTTCGATCCCTGGTACCAAAACAAAACAAAAATCACAGTGTTTACTAACCAACAACAATTCTTTTGGTGGGGGGAGGCATCATAGGACTCCAGAGAAACTGGAGAAACCATCCATCCTGGGGAAAATAGAAGCAAATTGATTTACATCGCTACTTTTTCAGCCTTCAAGGAGACTTTGTCTGGTGTCCCCCAGGCCCAAGGCCAGTTACTGCAAACACAGGTTAACAAGCAGGCAGACAGACAGACAGACAGACACATAAAATAGTTATTTAAACCAGAGTGCACCTTTAGATGTCTTAGCCACCTTGGATTAAAATAATCCTTTTTTTCTTGGTTTTAGGTTTATACTATAAGTGGATGAGTTGGTTAGAATTCTCCCGTGCAGAGACAATTAGCACATTTATTTGTTGGTTTTGTTTTGTTTTTTGAGACAGTCTCGCTTTGTAATTCAGACTGGCCTCAAACTCACAGAGATCCTTCTGCCTCAGCCTCCCAAGTGCTGGGATCACAGGTGTGCGCTGCTACAGCTGGCTCCCCAAGATCCCTCTTCCTTATCTGGAAGCAGCCTGGGCTCTTGCCTCCCCCATCGCTGTCCTGACCTCTCCCCTCAGATCCACCTGCAGAGAGGCTAGAGGACACCTCTGCCCAGGACTTTCGGCAGCTGCTGGAGCTGAACCTGCTGAGCATCTACACCCTGACCAAGGTGAGGCAGATCCTGGCCCTGACCACTGCATTTCAAGGCTCATTTAGTCCTGGAGCCCCTGTCTTCTATTCCTTGGTTTGTGCTCCTTTTCCCAAAGGTCTCTGTCCCTTGTTGCAAACCCCTCTGTCCAGCCAAAGCCACTTGTGTAGTGATAGCCTAGCCTTCTCAGGGACCGTCCATTTTTTGTTGTTGATTTTAAGACAAGGTCTTGCTGTGTAGCCCAGGCTGGCCTCCAACTTGTGGTGATCCTCCTGCCTCAGCCTCCGGAGTGCAGGGAAGACAGGGGTGCACCAACATGCCCGCCTCAGGCCAGGTGTTTCTTTTTTTTAAGCATGCTTTTGTGGTCTTCTGGATGGGAAGGCGTTTCACGAAAGCCTCTGAGGGGCACCTTTGAGCCGAGGCCAAAAGGAGGTGTGGTGAAGAGTTCAGGCAGAAGAATGGCTGGGGTTAAGTCCCTGGGCTGAGCTGTGCCTGGCAGGCGTGTGGGAGGGACAGTGCAGAGGCCAGTGCCGCTGGCGCTGCGTCAGTGTGGGAGTGAGGGCGAGGTGTGATAGCAGAGAGGGGACTCAGGAGCCCAGATGCTGCAGGACTTATGGGTCTCTAGATGGATCTCTGCTTTCACCGGGAGCTGGAGCCTCCTGCTCCGGGTGGGAAGCTGGCGCCCTCTGGCGGTCACGCGCGGCACAGCCTGCACGGTGCCCCTGAGTGGGGCGACATTGGCTCAGCCTTGTACTGAGAGGTCAGGTTCTGAGTCCGCTCTGGTGGAGCCGTCAGGGCTCCCTTGTGCTCCGCCTGTGGGAGCGGGCAGGTCCCTGGCTTTATTCCTGCCTCCAGGGCAGACAGGGCCTGTGGAAGCAGCTGGAAGTGGAGGAGCAGGCTTAGAGAAACTGGGAGAGGCGGCAGAAGAGCAGCCACAGGCCTGGGTGGGCATGTCATAGGAACTACCAGTGAATGGGAAAGGTTTTTTGTTTTGTTTTCTTTTGAGACAAGGTCCTGCTCCATAGCCCAGCTGGTCTTGAGCTCACAATCCTCCTGCCTCAGCCTCCCAAGTGCTGGGATTACAGGAATGCACGACCACACCCAGCAAAGTTTAAAATTAAGAGAGAAAAGAAAAATAGAGTACTATAATATACACTCATATACCCATCATTGTATCTAACAGTTACACACACACACACACACACACACACACACACACACACAAAGGTAGCCCTCCATAGCCACGGTTGTTCCACATCTGTGGATTCAACTAACTGTGGTTTGAAAATTTACCAAAAGGAGTTCAGTGAGGTGGTGCAGACCTGTAACCCCTGTACTTTGGGAGGCTGAGGCAGGAGGATTGTAAGTTCCAGCTCAGCCTGGGTGACTTGGTGACTTAGCAAGACACTGTCTCAAAATAAAAGAATTTTTAAGAAAAGGGCTGGGATGCAGCTCAGTGTGAAAGCCCTAGGTTCAATCTTTAGGACAGTCACACTTATTCAGGTGAGGAGAGGTGGCCTTCAAGGCCTTCGGTGTTCCTCTGTGACCTCAGGACCCACCACTCTGACTCTGCTCTTCCCCAGGACCTTGGCACTTGCTGTTCCCTCCACCTGGCAAGTTCTTGCCATGTCCCTCCTGCTCATGCCACCCTCTGCGTCTGTGTTCAGATGTCTTCTTGCCAAACTGCTTTTTGAAATGCACCCACCCAAGCCCCCTCCCTTGTCCTGACGACACCCAGGCCCGTTTCTGATACACTCACCACCAGGGCAGAAACCTTCCTGTCTGCTGTGTCCCTGACCTTTGCCACCGTGTCTGGTACATAGTAGGTGCTCAGTAAACATTTGCTGAATGAATATTGGTGGTGGGAAGAATTATATCCCATGTTTCTCAGAGATACTTTTGCCAGCACTCCTGATGGGTAGAGGAGAATCTGAAGCTCAGGGGAGTCAGTGCTGCAGAAGTTTTGGGGGAACAGGAGGATGACTTTTGTTTGGAAGACATTGAATTAGATGTCCAGGAGCAGGTCAGGAGCTCCAGAGAGGGGTCAGGCAGATTTAGAAGACTCTGGTTGCTAACAGCAAAATGCTGCCTGTCTCCTGCAAGGGTTAAGGGGAGAAGGGTGTGGTGGCGCACATCTGTAATCCCAGCAACACCAGGACACAGGAGGACTGCAAGTTCAAGGCCATCCTGGGTTACATAGCAAGAGCTGTCATGGTGAGCAGAGAGGGTGTGTGTTTAGGTCCCGCTGTGAGAGCATCCTGGGTGCCCACTGTGCTCAGTCTGGGTGGCAGGAACAGGCCCCACCCTCGGCCAGCTTAGCTGCCCAAGGCAGGAGACAGGAAGCTTAGAATTTGAGCTCATCCAAGGTCGTGCGTCCTGTCCCACATACCTGGAAAGGGACTCCAGGGTGCTGCCAGGGAGAAGCTCACAGAAAATGGATCCTAATTCACTCAGGTCTCCACTTCCATCTTGAACACAGAGAAACCTTGCCCTCCAAGTGCTTCCTTCCATTTTTGCAAAATATATAGCTGTCTGGGGCTCTCTCCAGCCTTCCCTGGCTTGATGGGGACAGGATTTTGAGTGTCATATAAAGAGCCAGAGAGATGGGGGCAGAGACCCAGAGGAGGGAGAGAGGAAAGACAGAGAGGGAGGGAGGAAGGGAGGGAAGGGGAGAGAGAGAGAGAGAGAGAGAGAGCAAAAATTCCCTTCTAGCCAGGGGTGGTAATACACTCCTGTAATCCCAACACTCAGGAGGCTGAGGCAGGAGGATCACTGTGAGTTCAAGGCCAACCTGGGTTACATAATGAGTTCAAGGACAGCCTGAACTACACAGTGAAACCCTGTCTCAAAACAAAACAAAACAAAAAACCAACAACAACAAAAAATTCCTTTCTAAACAAGGAGAGATTCCTAAGTACCAAGACCCAGAGACACAAGAACAGAGCAGGGCTAGGTGTAGTCCCTTTGGGTCACTGTCCCCAGGTGAGGATGCCCGAAGCTGATTCTGTCTTTGTGTCCCCAGCTCGCCCTCCCCCACCTGCGGAAGGTCCAGGGCAACATCATCAACATCTCCAGCTTGACTGGGGCCATTGGCCAGTCCCAGGCAGTGCTCTACTCTGCCACCAAGGTATGCCAGCCCCTGCCCCTGCCTTGTATCCCCATTGTCACCAGGCTGGGTCTGAGAAGTCCCAAGAGATGAGGAACCTAACAACTCCTTTGTAGAAAAAGTTTACAGGTTCACTGACTCCTGTGGCAGAAAAAGAATTTTCAGGACTCGTCAGTAAGTGGGGTGGAAGGGTTTATTAGGCAGATTTTAGGACAAACTCAAAAGAGGAGCTCAGAGAGCTGAGACCACTCTCTCCCAGGACAGGGAACAACATTTCTGCTCCTCAGAAGGGGCCAAAACCCTGGCCCACCCCCAGGAAGGGTACAGCCCACTCTCCAGGTATGGGCCCAGTTTTGTTTTGTTTTGTTTAGTACTGGGGATTGAGCTTCGGACCTTGCCCCCTCCCCTGGCCCAACCTGTTCCTTTATCTTAGGATCAGGCTCCTGCTCTTTATTTTCTCAAGGCACTTTATGGACTTTCAGCTTCCTGAAGAATTTGCTTGTCAGGTCTGGTGGAGGAAGGAGCCTAGGTTTAACCAAAGGAACACGGGTTTGGATGGCCTTGGTGACCTTGGCCTGCTCTTTCTCTCTCTCTTTTTTTTTTTTTTTTTGTTTTTTTTTTTGTTTGTTTGAGACTGGGTCTTGGGTCTTTCTGTGTAGTCCATACTGGCCTCACATGCACAACCCTCCTGCCTCAGACTTGCCCCGACACACCCTGTGACAAGGCCAGACTCTGGTTGCAGGAGCCTGGGAAAGCACTGCCCCCGCCCCATGACAAATTGCTCTGCCCCAGGTTCTCCCAAGCCAGAGAGCCTGGTGCCTTTGAAAGCAGCCTGTAAGGAGCGAGGCTTCTCCATCTAGTTGTCCCTGTTTGGCGCCCTGGCTGGAGGGAGGGATAGATAGAACCCCATCTTCTGGAACTGACTCAGTCCCTGCCTTTTCTGCAGGGGGCAGTCACAGCCATGACCAAAGCCTTGGCCTTGGACGAGTGCAAATATGGCGTCCGAGTCAACTGGTGAGGAGCTCGGGCAGGCCGGGAGTCCCAGGGGCCGCTGGGAAGTCGGCTGAGCCACCAGCCCCATCTATGACCCCCACCACCCCCAGTATCGCCCCAGGGAACATCTGGACCCCGCTGTGGGAGATGGTGGCAGCCTCCTCGCCAGACCCCGAGGCCGAGATCCGGGAGGGGGTGCTGGCTCAGGTAGGAGAGGAAGGAGGAGGCCTGGGGGGCGTGGCGATCGAGGGGCGTCTCCTGACCCCTTTCTCCCCTCTCCCCCCAGCCGATGGGCCGCATGGGCAAGCCCGCTGAGGTGGGCGCCGCAGCTGTGTTCCTGGCCTCCGAAGCCACCTTCTGCACAGGCACGGAGTTCCGCATGACGGGAGGCGCAGAGCTGGGCTACGGGTGTAAAGCCAGTCGGGACACCCCTCTGGAGATCCCCACGCTCCCTCCTGATTTCCCTCACTAGCCTCCCGCCTGTCCCGTCGCACCGCCCCCCCCCGCCAATGAAGTCCGCTTAGGAATGTCCCGATCAGCCCGCAGGTCCCAGCCCTTCCTGCAAGTCGGTCACACCAAGGCTTCAGCCCTGTCCACACCTCCCTGCGCCCTGAGGGACGCAGCTCCCTGCTGGCCTTGTGGCAGTGCCCCTCGATAATGCTTGTCGCCAGGTAGAGTGGTGTGGCTTTACCAGGGCGCTAATTAAAAAGCTCCCCAGAGGAAGTAAATTAAGCGCTAATTAGAAGGTAACGGAGAAGAAGCAAAAAAAAAAAGTCTCTTTATTCTTGGCCCTAAGGGGAAAGGAGCTTCTGGCCTGTGCAGTAAGAAGGTGGCCGCCCCGTGGGAAGGTTGAGACATAGGGGTCAGAGGGAGACGGGGGTGCGGCCCCCGGGTGGGCACCGGGCCCAGACGCAGCGTAGTGAGGGGGCGGGACTGCAGGCTGCTGCGGGTTGGTCGCGGTCGGGGGTGTGCGGCAAGCGCTGATTGGCCGAGGCGGGGGCGGGCCGGCCGGTGGGCAACGCCCCTTCCATCCCGGACTAGGAGGCGGGGTGTGGGGGACTCGGGCGCGGAGAAGAAAAAGAGCAACATCCGCGGGGTGGAGGGTGCGTGATTTGGCCACTCCGGCCCGTGGCCTTTTTTGGGGGAGGGTACCGGAAATCGAACTTGGGTCTTTGCGCTTACGAGGCAGGCGGTGGAACCACTGAGCTAAGTCCCCTGCCCTATCCTGTGGCCTTTTGAGGTGGAGGACAGCGATTCTGGAACAGGATTTGTGGACATGAGGGGAATGGGGTAGAATTTGGGAAGAAAGTCCCCAGGTGTTGGGAATACAGCAGAGATGAGGTTTTAGTGTCACAGTGACCTGGATCCAGGAGTTTGGAGACAGTGCGTGATCGAGCAGCATGATCTAAGGGTCACTCATTGCCACAGGTCTGAATGGCCAGGTCAGAGGGACCCTGAAGGGTGTGATTGGCCAGGGGCCCTGAAGTCGGGGAGATGCTCATGAAGGCGGTCACCAGGGCCCCCTGCACGGGGCTGTTATCTCAGGCTCATGATGAGTGGGGCAGAGAGAGGAAATTTGGGGGGCTTCACTGATGAATGGGACTAGAAGGAGGGAACCCTGGGTGCTTTTATCTCAGGGACAAAGAACACACATAGTTTATCTTCTCGTTGGTAAGAAAAACTACATATTCACACAGGGATGCATCCAGATTGCAGAGCCAAGCTCCGCCAAGCTCCCCTCATAACAGGCCACTTCCCAAGGTCCCATTTCTTTGTGCGTTCACTGACAGTCATTGCGAGCTCTTCCTTTTCACAAAAAGAGTGATAAACGGAGCTTTCTGCTCCTTGCCTTTGCGCTGCTTTCCCCGGGGCTACTTATCCTGGCCAGCACTTGACGACATCCTTAAAAGCGCATTAAGTAAACACTACAAGAAGGCTCTTGCGGGGCGTGAGTGTGGCTGGGACCGAGGAGGGCGGGGGCTTGGAAGGGGTGTGTTTTTCAGTTTCTTCCTATTCCTGTGCATCTGCTCGGGAGCAAGGCCCAGCTCCGATAACTGGAGGCCTGGCTGAACCACCCCTCCACAGTCATCCTGCGGGAGGGGGCGTGAGTGGGGCGTGGCCGGAACGTCTTTCTTCTGGCAGCACCCCTGGCGGGCACAGTTGATCGCCGCACAGATCATGGCCGCAGTCGCACTGGGGCAGGTGGGTTCGTGGCCCAGCACCTGAGGGGTGAGGAACCTTGGGGGAGGCGCACTTCCGGGAGGACCACTGGGGCGCAGCCCTTCCGGCTTGGCACAGCTCCCCTGGCCCTCGGGTTCCGCTGTGAGGCGCCTAGGAGGATGGGGCTCCTCTGGAGCGAGCACAAGGCCCTCATGGGGTAGGGGAGGTAATTGATGAGAAGGGCTCTGGGCTGGGAGATGTGAAGTGGGAAGCATAGAGGAAGAGGCTGTATTGGGAGAGGCACGGGGCTGGTGGGGTGGTTGTGATTTAGGGACGACAGCCCTGCAGGATTAGGGAGGAGTCCTTTCTGGGGCGGGGGCTGAGGGCCCAGGACCTCTAGGAGCTGGGGTGGAGGAAGTGCAGAGCTCGACCTCAGATCTTGACTGGTATCAGACCCAAGTTCGCATTTCGTGCACCTGAAAGTAGATGAAGACACATGCAGAAAGTTTATCTGAAGCTTGGTACCTGGTTTAGAAAGTGAGGCCACTTCCTTCTGTCCTGTGGAGGTGACAGATCCTCCAGGCAAGAGTGGGACCGTCCATGCTTAGGGACATGATGTCCAGCAGCAGGGTTTCGGAGTGGATGATTTAAGACAGCGAGGTTTCTGAGCGAAGAAGGAAACAGTTGGGGCGTTACAACCCTTTACAGCTGCAGCATGACCTTGAGAGAAAGGCTCCTGTTTGCTTTGCACCTGACTTACCCGAGCCTCCCACCCCCGGCTGGTGAACAGCAGGCCCGGATTTTCCTTTCTCTGGGTCTTAGTGACTGACTGGGAAAATCCTGGGAGAGGAGGACAGGGCCAATCTGGGCTGCGGGGCTGAGGAGTGGCGCTGGGTTTGGGGGGTACAGCCCTGAGCTGTGTCGACACGGGACTTGACTCTGGTTGGGACAATCCTGGGAAATGTTAGGGACAGTCTGGTGCTGGGATGTGACTGTCATAGCTCTGTCCTGGTGTGTGATGGAGAGAGGCCTGGGCTACAGATGGGGCCATTTTAGGTGTGATCGGGTCAGTCCTGCCTGGGCGGTCACGAGGACGCATTGGGACTATGACGGGAGCTGTTCTGGGGTTACATGAGACAGCTTGGGCTGTGATAGGGACAGTCATGGCCAAGACAAGGACAGCACCGCACTGTGATGGGGACCCCTCCTGGCTGTGATTCACAGACAGCCATGGAGTGTGGAGGTTGGCGCTGGGCTTTGACAGGGACACTGCCAGACTGATGGTCACACTTATGGGCTGTGTTGGGGACAGCAGCCCTGGGCTGTATGGGACATGGATGAGGGAGGCTCCACCAAGTCACAGAGCTGCGGCCTATGCACTTGACCTTCTTTATTCCTGGGGCTGGGATGTAGCTCAGTGGCACAGCACCAGCCTGGTAAGCACAAGGTCCTGAGTTCAATCCCAGGTTACACACACAGGCACAAATTCTTCATTCCTGATTGGGCCACAGGCCATTAACACTGTCACCATAGTCCCCCCTGCCACCAGGCATGGCTTTGGGCTCCATCCCCACAGCTTAGGGTGTGGTGCCCTCCTTGAGCCTAGAGGAGAGCCCTGGCCTTGGAGGAGTGCCCAGGAGAGTGAAGGTGGCGTTTTCCATGGTCACCAGGTATCTGTGGCCAGTGGGATTTATAATATCCTGAATGCCATGCCCAGCTGTGTGATGTGTTCTGCCTCTCCTTTCTCCTGGATGTCTCTGAGCTCTCTCCCTCTCTCTCTACCTTTGTCTCTACTGGGGATTAAACCCCATGTCCTTCACACTGAACTACATTGCCAGCCCTTTTTTCTAATGTTTGTCTGAAACAGGGTCTGGCTGTGTAGTTCAGGCTGATCTTGAACTCGCTGTATACCCCAGGCTGGCCTTGAACTCCTGGCCATCCTCCTGCCCCAGCCTCCTGAATGCTGGGATGACAGGTGTGCGCCACCACGCCTGGCTTCTATTTTTTTTATTTTGAGGCAGGGTCTTGGTAAATCACTAAATTGCCTGAGCTGAGCTTGAACTTGACATCCTCCTGCCTCAGCCTCCCAAAGTGCTGGGATTACAGGACTGTACCATCATGACTGTCCGTAAGCTTCTCTGAGACAGTTTCTCTCCCAATCTTCCCTCATTTCCCTGCTCTCCCTCCCTCTAGGCCCTGCCATATGACAGGGCCTAACCTTTGCCTAGATCTTTCCTTTTTCCTGTTCTGTCTCCTGGCTTCTCTTTGGCACACCCTCAGTCACATTTCTAATTTCTCAAGGCTTTTTTCTTTCCTTGAATTTGTCTCTCTTTTTCTCTTTCCTATTTACTTTTTTGTTTGTTTTGTTTTTGCTTTTGGTACCAGGGATCGAACTTGGGACCTTGTGCTTGAGGCAGATGCCAGAACCACTGAGCTAAATCCCCGGCTCTCCTATTTACTTTTAAATTCTATTTATTTATTTATTTATTTATTGAGACAGGATCTCACTGTGTAGCCCAGGCCGGCCTCAAACATACAGCCATCCTCCTGCTTTAACCTCCCGGGCGTGCTGGGATCACAGGCATGCACCATCATGCCTGGCTTCTCTCCTTCTTTCATCTTAGCCACTCTCTTTATGCTCAGATCTTTTCACTGTCCCTTTGCCCTGTTTTCTTTTCTTTTCAGCCCATGCCCTCCATTTCTGTGTCTTTGGTCTGTCCACTTCCTCCTCGGTTTCCTCGCTCAGTCCCTTTTATTTATTTACCTCTCCTGGCACCCTCTGCTGTCCTGCCTACAATGTGCTGGCTGGCCTAGGCTGCCTCTGCCTTCTCTCCACTCTAGGGAGTGTGGGTCCCCTCCTGGGCAGACGCATGGCCCCAGGGCCAGGTGGGCTCTATGTCACAAGCAGAGGCCAAGCGGGTGGTGTGCCCTGAGCATCCCAGAAGCCCTTGGGCCCTGCACCCACCAGGCCACATCTCAGGCTTGGCGGTCCAGACCCTGGCTCCCCAGGCCTCACCTACTTGTCAGGTCGCTGTCCCAGGTCACAGGGTGGGAGCTGGAGAGGCCACTCTGTCTCCCTCAGGCTCAGGTCCCAGAGGTCTCTGCGGTGCTGGGGAAAGGGACATTGTGGGATCAGATGGACACAGCCAGACCTGGTCTCCCTGTCTTCCTTGGAAAGGAGAAGGGTGCTGGGCATCTGAGCGTTGTCCGGGGTGACTGTGGTGGCCCCAGGCCTCTTCCAAGGTCTGCAGGGAGTGGAGCTGCTTTGCTGCTGGTGTCCCCTTGCAGGGTGCTGGGGGAGCTCAGGAGTCTGAGCCCTGGGCTCTCACAGCGGAAAGCGTGGGCCCCTGGACTGCTGGGACCGAGGCTGGGGCCTGGGACCTGCACCCCGGGGTTCTGGGGGAACATGGCCTCGGGACCCTCACTTTTCTAACCCAGGTCAGGGCTGGGGACCCTCCCGAGGCCCCACTCACCTGTACACCTTCCCTCGTCGTCCTCTGTCTGAGCTGCTCTCCGCTGGGGCCAAAGTTCTCGGGTGGGAGGCGGCTGTGCTCGGACTTTGCCCAGTGTGGAAGAGAGGCTGGAGATGGGTTGGTACTTTCTAGGGATGACCCCGTGGGACCTCAGGGAAGGTTGGCCTGGCACATGCTCTAGAATGCACTGGGATTGCAACACTGGTCCCAAGGAACTGGCCTGGAGAGGGAAGAAGGCAGGGTGGGGGTGCCCTGGCTCTCTCCCTCCATGGGCCTTGTCACCTCCCACATTGCTCTCCCCACTCAGATATGGGCCCGAAAACTTCTCCCTGTCGCTTGGCTTCTGTGTGGTCCCAGAAGATGTGCTTCTTCCAACTTCAAGGTGAAAGCAGGGACCTGGACCCCGGGTCTGAGGGAGGAGGCCAGGCCCGGACCCCGGGTTTGAGGGAGGAGTTGCTGGCAGCTAGATTGGGGCATCTCCAAGAATCTCACACCCCAAAGGTAAAGGTGGGTGGCAGGGTCCTGTAATAACTTCATATCAGGCAGTGAGGAAGCAATGGAGCCTCATTTCCCAGAAGCTTCTGGGGTATCTGGTCCTTCTCTGTGGGTCTGAGACCCCAGTGCCTCATGGGACCTGTAGTTTTTCAATCTAGAGACTAGCCAGCCCCTAGGACACCTGGGTGCTCCATCTTTTTCAGGCTGCAGACCTGCAAATGCAAATGACACAAGAGCCGAAAAAGAAGCCCAGCTCCAGTGAGCCCCTGGTGTTTGGGAAGATGTTTACTGACCACATGCTGATGGTGGAGTGGAATGGAGCAAAGGGCTGGGGCCAGCCCCGGATCCAGCCCTTCCAGAATCTCATGCTGCATCCGGCCTGCTCTGGTCTCCACTACTCCCTGCAGGTGGCTTGGCAGCTGACCTCGGTCCCCTGTCCCTGTCTGCATTTCCTCCTTGCTCTGTCTTTTGATAGGTACACCCCTGGGTTGGCTTTTTCTGTGTCTCTCTCTGTCTTTTTTTTTAACAGGGTCTCACTATATAGTTCAGGCTGGTCTTGAACTCACTATGTAACCCAGGCTGGCTTCGAACTTGAGGCAATCCTTCTGTCTCAGCCTCCCGACTGCTGGAATTACAGGAGTGAGCCACAATGCCTGACTTTTTGTGTCTCTTCTTTCCATGAATTTATCTTCTGTGTTTCAAGGCCTCCCATGCTCCCAGGCCTGGTGCTGTGTGGTGCTGGGTACTGGGATTAGCAGACTCAGGTCCTTCACTTGGAAACCCTGAACCTCAGGTAGAGCTCTGTGGGATCTGATGCCAATGCTGCCATGCAGGAGGATAAGCTGGAGTTGAGAACCTGGAGGGCAGGAGAGGACAGACAGGTACCGAGCAGCAGGAAGTGCCCTCCAGCAGCCATCTGTTTGGCAGCAGTGTAGCTTTCGGTCCTAGTGACACCTCCTGGACACCCTGGCTGGACACTTAAGTGTTTCCAGCCTTGTGCTACTGAGAACAAAGTTGCTAACAGTGTTTAAACAAAGTTGTAAATGGTGCATGTATCACTTCCTTTCCATGCAAGTGCATCTCTGCCCAGTTTCCAAAGCTGTTGGGGCAAAGGGTAGGTAGGTCCTCCCATAGTTTGGAAAGGTTACAACATGGCCTCCTAGCAGTATCGGTTTCCATAGCTGCTATCGGAGCCTGTTTCTCCAAACCTTGGGCAAGCCTCCTCCAACTTGGAGGTCTTTTCTGGTCTCTTGAGTGATTTTAAAGGTTCTCAGAGGAATTCTCATTTGCATTTTCCTCCTAATTATGAACGAAGATGGTCATCTGATGTTCTTGGTTGCGGGGGCTAGGCATTGAACTCAGGGTCTTCACACTGAGCTACAGCCCTATCCCTTTTTTACTTTTTAATTGTGAGACAGGGTTTCCCTGAGCCTCTAAATTACCCAAGCTGAGTTTGAACTTGCAGCCCTTCTGCCTCAGCCTCCCAGAGAGATTATAGGTGTGCCCCATCACATCAGGCCCTAGCACTTTTCTGAGAAATGGCAGGGGTTTTTTTTGTTGTTGTTGTTCTGGGGATTGAACTCAGGACCTTGTTCTCTTGAGGTAGGTGGCCGCACCACTGAGCGAAATCCCCAGCCCCCTAGCACTTTTCTTGTTTGTTTGTTTGTTTTTAAATTTTGAAACAGTCTCACTACATTGTCCAGGTTGCCACCATGGTAGCTGGGTTTCCTAAAGGTGTGTTCCACCAGGCTGGAATTTCTCACTAAAGAGCCATTTCTATTTCCTTTTCTGTGAGCTGTCTGCTAGGCTAAATTTTCTGTTAGGTTGGATTTTTTAAAAAATTGGTCTGTAGCTGTGCATGGTGGCACCCACCAGTAATCCTAGTTACTTGGGAGGCTGAAACACGAGAATCACGTCAGGTCAGTCTGGGCATGGGGATGTAGCTCAGATCTCCCCGGGCTCAATCTCTAGTTAAAAAAAAAAAAGGCTGAGGCAGGAGGATCGATGTGAGTTCAAGGCCACCCCTGGCTCCATTGTGAGACACCCCCCCCACCCCACCTTGCCCCGTCTCTCAAAAAAAGGAAAAAATCAATTTGTAAGAGCACTTTGTATATTAGACTTTGTTTCCTTTCTTTTCTTTGTCTTCCTTTCCTTCTCTTCTCTCCCCCCGCCCCCCTCTTGTTCTTTCTGTCAGTGCTGAGGATCAAACCTAGGCCTTGAGCAACCCAGGAAAGCACTCTACCACTGAACAATGTCTCCAGCCCTAGATAAATGTTTTTTGATATGAGCTGGGTGTATTTTTTAAATTAATTAACTTATTGGGCTGTAGATCAAACCCAGTGGCCCACACATACTAAGCACTCATTGTGGCCATGAGCTAAACCCCAGCCCCGCAGCATGATTTATTTTTGTGGAACCAAATGTATCACTCTTTTCTTTTTTGACTTTTTTTTTTTTTTGGTGCTGGAGACTGAACTCGGGACCTTGTGCTTTCGAGGCAGGCAGCGGAACCACTGAGCTAAATCCCCAGCCCTCTTTTTTGGCTTTTGTGATCTGTCATATTTACAATGCCCATTCCCAGTCCAGGATAGCAAGCAGTCATCTTGTATTTTCTTCTATAGCTTTTATGGTTTAATATTTATTTATTGTTCCTTTTAAAATTTATGGGCCAGGGATTTAGCTCAGTGGTTTCGCCACCTTCCCTGCAAGCGCAAGGACCCAAGTTCGATCCCCGGTACCAAAAAAATAAATAAATAAAATAAATAAAATAAAATAAAATTTAACCTACCTGGAATTTTCTAGGAGATGTGAGGTAGGATCCAATTTAATTTTTTTTTTTTTTGAGTCAGGGTCTCACTATTCCAGGCTGCCTTTGAACTCACTATGTAGCTCAGGCTGGCCTCAAAACTGTGTGATTCTCCTGCCTCAGCCTCTCAAATGCTTGGATTATAGGCATGCACCACCACACCCAGCTCACTTTAATTTTTTTCCTAGGTAGGTATTTGCTTTTCTATGGCATTGTTCAGTCTGGGTACAGTACTTTTATCCACCAATGTCACATTAAGTAGTGCAGTTTTATAATCTGTCTTAATATCTTGCCCTCTGTCTTCCCCCAAAAAAATCCTGGGCTGCTTTTACTTATTTTTCATCATTCATTCATTCATTCAATCAACAAAAGCCCCTTGTATGCTGAGCACTGCCCTAGGTTCTAGGGATAGGGGCTTCCGGGGTGATTATATCAGAAGTGGTGCAGGCCCTAGAGCTCTTCCAGCCTCTTGTAGAACAGACGCATAAACATGGAGTCCTGGGGCAGAAATCCCGTGCCCTGGCTTGTCTCTGGGTGATGACTGTTAGGAAAGTGGTGACATTTAACATCACTACTTTTTTCATGGTGCTGGGGGTGGAAGCCAGGGCCTCACAGGTGGTGGTCAAGCACTCCTGCCTTGGAGCTACATCTTCTGTCTCCCTGTTTTTGCTTGCTTGTTTGATTTATTTCAGACAAGGTCTCAGTGTGTAGTCCAGGCTGGCCTTGAGCTCACTTTGTAGCCCAGGCTGGCCTCGAAGTCATGATGGTCCTCCTGCCTCGGCCTCTGGAGTGCCGGGATTACAGGTGTGCGTTACCATAGCTGGCTCTCCATTTTGTTTTGGCTGTTGATGTAGGGGCTCTTGCTAAGTTCCTAAGGCTAGCCTCAAACTTGCAATCCTCCTGCCTCAGGCTCCCTAGTGTGTGGAATCTCAGGTGTGTGCTGCCGCACTGGACTCGGTCCTTTGCTTGCTTACGTCTCTGTCTCCCTATGTCTGCGCATCTCTCTCAGTTTGTGTGTCTCTGTCCCGCTCTAACTCGATGTGTTACTCTGTCCCCAGCCCTGTGTCTGTACCACACATTCCCAGTCTCTGTCTTGCTCTCTCTCCATGGTGACCTGGAGCTGTCTCTGAAACTGAGCCTCCTGCCCGTCTGTCCCCTCAGCTCTTTGAGGGCTTGAAGGCCTATAGAGGCAGGGACCAGCAGATTCGCCTCTTCCGACCCTGGCTCAACATGGACCGGATGCTGCGCTCGGCCCAGCGGCTCTGCCTGCCGGTGAGTGGCCTGGCCACGGCCTCGGGAGGGAGGCATGCGTGGGGCGCAGTCACCCCAGCCCCTGACTCTTGAGGGTTCCACCCAGACTTTTGACAAGGCCGAACTGCTGGAGTGTATCCGCCGCCTCGTGGAGGTGGAGAAGGACTGGGTTCCCAACGGGGCTGGCACCAGTCTCTACGTGCGGCCTGTGTTCATCGGGAATGAGGTGGGCCTGGCTCGGGCTGGGATGTGGACACCAGGGATGGAGTAGCGAAGGGGCTGAGGTCCGGGGGAGGAGGCTGGGCCTGGACTCCTGGCCACTAATGCTGCCCCCTTGTCCACCACAGCCCTCACTGGGTGTCGGTTGTGTCACACAAGCCCTCCTGTTCGTCATTCTCTGCCCCGTGGGCTCCTATTTCCCCGGAGACTCCATGGCCCCCGTCTCCCTGCTCGCAGACCCAACATTTATCCGAGCCTGGATGGGGGGTGTCGGTGACTACAAGCTGGGTGGGTAAGTAGCGCCCACAGCCTCAGGATGCCCTGTGCCCTGGACACCAGGGAACCCAGTCCTGAGCTCCGGGTGTCTCTGGTGCCAACACTGTCCCTGTGGTATTCTTCCTGGCGGGGGCAGCTCTGGCCGCCATTGGGAGGCAGTGTCCTTGTCACTGTGGTGCGGGCTCAGGGCCGAGCTCTGTGTCCCTGTGTCACCTGTGGAGAAACTAGGAGGAAGGTGGGATCACTGCACAGATGCCCAGAGCAGAGAGGGGCCCGCTTCATTACAGCAGCCCCAAGAGAGCCAGGGCCCAGCCTGCAGGCCCGGGACACCTCACGGGAGGCCGTATCGTGAAGGGCTGGGGCCGGGTCAGGGTTTGCTCCTGATGGAAGCTGTGAGGAAGATGAGCTCCGCCGAAGAGGCGGTGGTGCTCATGTGACGTGTGCTCAGAGGAGGGGAAGATGCAGCGGGCCACTGAGCAGCCTCAGGAGGCCTGGGAGCTGGAGAAAAGTAGGTCAGCCCTGGTATGGAGAGACTCTTCTAGGGCCACTGGAGGGCAGTTGGGGGGTCCCTTGGCAAGTCCAACCAGGCTGCCCTCCACCAGGAATTATGGGCCCACTGTGTTAGTGCAACGGGAGGCTCAGAAGAAGGGCTGCGAGCAGGTGCTCTGGCTGTACGGGCCCGACCAGCAGCTCACTGAGGTTGGCACCATGAACATCTTCATCTACTGGACCTACGAGGATGGTGGTGAGCTCACCCGTGACCTGACCCCAGCTCAGGTGGAAGTGGGCGATTCCCTCTTTCCTCAGAGGTTGCAGCACCAGGGATTAGGGTGGGAAGGGCTTGAGGCAGTGGGTGACACTCCCACCCCTTACCCCTGACCTAGTACTGGAGTTGGTGACACCCCCGCTGGACGGGATAATCCTGCCTGGAGTCGTCAGACAGAGCCTGCTGGACCTGGCCCAGTCCTGGGTAGGGTTGGGGGCCCCTGGGGGTGTGTGTGGGGCATGCTGGCATGTCTCTGTCTCCCTTCCCTCCTCGCCTGTCTTTCTCAACATCCCTGGGAGAAGAGAGGCAGGGCCCGCTGCAGGGGACCCCTTGGGGACTGTGTTGTCTCCTCTCCTGCCCTCAAGGGTGAGTTCCGGGTAGCGGAGCGCAAGATCACCATGAAGGAGTTGCTGCACGCGCTGGAGGAGCAGCGGGTACGGGAAATCTTTGGCTCTGGCACTGCTTGCCAGGTCTGCCCTGTGCACCGGATCCTGTACGAAGGCAAGGTGAGGCGGGGCTGCCATGGCGGGTGGGAGAGAAGATGGTGGAGATGCCTTGTCCTCATGGCACTTTCTTTCCCAGAACATCCACATTCCCACCATGGAACATGGGCCTGAGCTTATCCTTCGCTTCCAGAAGGAGCTAAGGGGAATTCAGGTTAGTGGCAGCCACAGGGAAATGGCTGGATGTTTCTTCCCTGGCACCTCCTCAGTAGTCCCAGATAATGGTCCTTTCTGTCAGCCTCTGGGCCCCAGGCTGAATAAGCTTTCCAGGAATTCCTGTTGGCTGGAACACTATCCCTTGGGGCTAAATAACACTTTCCTGGGAGCCCTGGGAGCCCAGAACTAACACTTTTGCTTGTCAACTCCCCTTCCCATGAGCGTCTATGTCTCCTGGTGGGAAAAATCTCCTTCCCAGGAGCCTCTGTAGCCTCTGGGTCTCCTGGAGAGAGGAAACCCCTTTCTCCTCCCATGAGCCTTTGAGAGCACTAGGTCTCCTTCTTGTGGGTGAAACACTCCTTCATGATCCTCTGGGGTCTTGGCCCACCCTCTGGTCATACAAGTTGGCCTTCCAAGAGTCCCTGAGGCCCTGAGCTAACCCTTGGGTTGAGAAATCTTCCTTCTCAAGAGTCTCTGTTCCTTGGCCTCCTCTCCAGCCCAAGAAAGTTTCCTCTCACAAGCCTCTGGGGACATTCCCATTCTTCTGCACCAAGCTGGCTTCCCTGGACACCTTTCTTGCGAACTTGTGTAAACACCTAAGCATCAACTTGAGAACTACACGTCTGACTAATCGGGCTTTCTGAGCTGGAAACTTCTTTTTCTAAACTCCTTGGGAGCTTTACAAATCCTTAGAATTTGGCTCCCTTAAACCAATGGGCCATTGCCTAGATTCCCTCGCCCCTCCCTTGCTGGTGGCTTCGAGGGAATTGACTACATTTCCCATGAGGCAGCGGGGTGGAACGTGGTGACCCCTCAGCCCGGGACGCCCCAAGGCCTCTTGGGAGTTGCAGTTTGACTCTCCCACTCTCCCACTCGTTTGTCCTGCAGTACGGAACCAGCCCGCATGAGTGGATCCTCTCTGTCTGACGCTGCGGCCTAGGCTGGACCACACCTCAGATCAACCAACCTGTCACCGACTTGCCTGAAGTGCAATAAGAGGATGAGGGCCGGACGCCTGGGTCTCTGGCGCCCCCTAGTGATTGCTACACTCCCAAAGCCATAAGGAGTGGGCCCTGCAACTTGGATGGGGACCAGGCCCTAACCCTTGCTGCTCCAAGTTCATTTCCTGGAGGGTCAGAGATGTTTTGTGGCCTCCACTCTGTATCTCTCTGCTCTTAGGCCCGTCCCCGGTGCTGCCATTAATTTTTCTGTCTTTGCTGCAATTTTGAAATAAAATGCCAAAGAACAAGACATTACTGTCATCTCTAGTGACACAGCTCCGGACCCTGGGGTTTTAAAGTAGGAATCCTGATCTTCAGCCACTTTATCTTCAAAGACCCAGTAATCCAAGCTCCAGCGTCCTGGCAGTCTCAGCCTGGGAGCGGTTTCTATCTCTCCAGAGTTAGCATCTTCTTCCCCTCCCCTTGGCATCCCCAACTCCCATCTTGGGGACGGTGGACATCCATCCCTTCACCACACCCCTCAGCTCTGCGCCCCTCTCAAAGCCATCGCCACTGCTCCCCGAACTCTGTTTCTTTTCTGGTGATCCTCCTGCCTCAGCCTCCTGAGTCCGGGTGGGCAGGCATGCACCACCACACCTGGCCTCTGTCCCTTCTTTGTCCCCTCAGCTCTGGCTTCACGGTCAAGGCTTGTACCCGGTCCCAGGCTCCTCTGTGGCATCCAGCCTGTCTCAGGCTTGTCTCTAAGAAATCTCTTGACACTCCTGAGCTGGCCCTGACCCTTGGGGGCCCTCAGCACCTGCAGTCATTACTGTAGATGGTCACCCTGTCTGCATGGAGTGAGGCACGGATGCTCTCTGCTGTTGGAGGATTTGAACATCAAGAAGTTTATACAGCAGAACCAGGCATGGTGGAACACGTCATTCTAGCACTTGGGAGGCCAAGGCAGGAGGATCACCATGAGTTCCAGGCCAGCCTGGGCTACATAGTGAGTACAAGGCCAACCTGAACTACATAACAGGACTGTCTCACAAAGCCAAAAAAATTTTTTTTATGAAACCTGGTCCCTGTCATGCATCTGTGTCATTTATGTGGCCTGATCGTGGCTACTTTATACATACACTTGAACCATTTCTATGTGGACCTTTAGAGAGAGAGGATTAGGACCAGGCAGATCCAAACCTGCCTCTAGTGTGATTCAAACCCAGACCTGGAGTGTGTGATTTTATCTCTTTGATCCAGTTTGCCGAAGGGAGACCCTGTAGGACTTTTATTTATTTTTGTTTGGTTCCTGTTTTTTTGAGACAGGGTCTCACTAGTTCAGGCCGGCCTTGAACTCACTATGTAGCCCAGGCTGGCCTGGAACTCAGGGCAATCTTCCTGCCTAAGCCTCCTGAGTGCTGGGATGACGGGTGCCCAGTGCACCCTGCTCCTGTGGGACTATTCGCCGGATGTGGTCAGTGGCCTGTCCAACTGCCTGCAGCCCTGGCACTAGAACTCTGATTTCTTCAGGAAGCAGCTGATTAGACCTCGCTGCCCCTCTGGGCTCGGGTTGGGGCCAGGAAGAAGGGGGAATGGTTTTCCCACATTGCTCTCAGCATTACACACAGCAAAATGCAAAGCACTTTCGCCTGAAACTGTGTTTACACCTCCAGGAGCGAAGGAGAGTTCCGTCAGTACCTGCGCTGATTATGAGAAAATATTCAGTCCACATTGAAGGGCACTGGGGCAGAGGGGGCTGGGGTAGAACCCAGGGCTACACCTCCAGCCCTTTATATTTTATTTTTTATATTTTGAGACAGGGTCTCCCGATGTTGCTAAGTTGCCCTGGCTGTTCTTGAGCTTGAGCTCCTCCTGCCTTAGCCTCCCAGAATGTTGGGACTGCAGCTGTGTACCACCATGCCTGATCTCAAGGGGCTTCTTCTAAAATACCTGATCAGAGCCAGGACTGGTGGTACACACCTGTAATCCCAGTGCTCAGGCTGAGGCAGGAGGGTCACCCCAAGTTCAAGCCCAGTCTGGACTACACAGGGAGACACTGTCTCAAAACAAAATAACAAAAACCACAAAACACTCATCAGGGCATAATGGCACCCGCCTGTAATCCCAGCTTTCAGGAGTCTGAAGTTGGAGGATAGCTGCAAGTTTGAGGCCGGCTTGGGCTGCCTAGTGTGTTCAAGGCCAGCCTGAACTACTCAAAAAACAAAACGAAAATGTGCAAATGTGCTTCAGTATTGCCTGTAGGACTTTTTCTTTCTTTCCTTCTTTCTTTCTTTCTTTCTCTCTGTCTGTCTGTCTGTCTGTCTTCCTTTCTTTCCTTCTTTCTTTTTTTGAGACAGGATCTCACTATGTAGCCAGCTGGCCTCAAACTAACGGTGATCCTCCTGCCTCAGCCACCTGAGTGCTGGGATGACAGGCATGTACCACCAAACCCAGCTCAATTGATTGCTGTGTTTTATGTTAGTCACATTTCAGGAAGCCCAGGTACTTTGCAGCTGGCCATGGCTCAGTGTATAATTCCCTTCCTCCCTCAGGCCACACAGACTCTGGGTTTGTTGCTACCTAAAACATGCTGCTTGCATGTAAATCCCTGGCAAATGGCACTTTGTGCAGTCTTGAATTTGCCTCTTTCTTCTGTCTCCTGGCAGCTTCCATCTTTGGCAGAGGTTTTCATGTAATAGGTTTTCCTAAAGTGTATCACACATAAACAAAAATTAACTCAAAATGGTGCTCACCTATATCTCAGCTACTTGGGAGGCTGAAGGGGAAGGGTTGCAAATTTGAGGCCAGTCTGGACTACATAGTGAGACCCTGTGTTTGTTTGTTTTTTTCCCCAGAAGATTGAAGCCAGGGCCTTCACATTGAACTACATCCCCAGTCCTTTCTAAAAAATTTTGAGACAGGTCTCACTAAGTTGCTAGACTTTGTAGGTTATTCTCAAACTAACCTGAGTATGGGCTACATAGTGAGTTCAAGGCTAGCCTGAACTACAAAGCGAGATCATGTCTCAAAAAGGATGTGGGTACAGACCCCCATATACTTTGACATTTTTGAAAAAGGGGTGGCAGGGGTGGCTGGGGATGTAGCTCGGTACAAAGGCCCTGAGTTCAATCCCCTGAACCACAAAACAAAGTCATAAAATAAAAATTTTAAAATAAATAAATAGGGCCAAGGATTTAGATCAGCGGCACAGGGCCTGCCTGGCAAGTGTGAGGTCCTGAGTTTGATTTTCAGTGCCAAAAAATATATACATAAAATAAATAAGTAATAAATGTTATGTGTACTTCTGTTTTTTTTGTGTTTTTTTTTTCCTGGTACTGAGGATCGAACTCAGGACCTTACGCTTTTACCGGTTTTTTTTTCTTTCTTTCTTTTTTTTTTGTACCGGGGATCGAACTCGGGACCTGGCACTAGCGGGAATGGTGCCACACCCCAGCTCTTTGGGAACGTTGGTTTGAGAAAGTGTCTTACAGCAGTGCCAGTCGGCCCTACAACTTGCTATCCTCCTGCCTCAGTGTCCCAGGTAGATGGGATTATAGGTCTACACCACTTCTTCCAGCCTGTACATTTTTTGTCATGGCATAAAGATCTTTTTAAAACGAACAGACTGAAAACTGCTGAGATTCTTTTTGGACTTTCTCCAAATCGCCTTTCATTCTTTCCCATAGTTGAGGCGTCGTGCCCAGTGCCGGCCGACAGATGGCGCTGGAAGCCCCAGGCCGCCGCATCTGAAACCAGCGGTCTCTATGGTTACTTAGGACATGCATTTACCTGCGTTTTAAACTTCAAGTTTTTCTTTCTGTTGGTTTTAAAAACACCTCTCTCTCCATAGGCCCCATAAAGCACCGCGGGAAGCGCCCTGGCCATCTCCCCTCACCATTAGGCCCCAGTATAAGCTAGGAAATCTCAAGAAATGAGTACGAAACGTCAGTCTAAATTAGACTGTTAGTTTTTTGTTTTTTTGTGTTTTTTTCTGAAAAAGGCAAGGAAAGTGGCCTGAAATCCCTCATGTTCAGGCTCTCCTCTTTATCGGAAACCACCCCTCCGTGCTTAAGGGGGCCCCCAAAGGGGAGGTGGACGGCACCGCTGACCCCACCTGTCTCGGGATATAGGTCTCCCCCCCCCCCCCCCCCCGCCTGTTTACGAAAGAACCCACCCTGGGAACTCTCCTCAACCTCCTTATCACCCTCAGGCTAGGAACTCAGTCCGCTCCTCCAGGGACTCAGAAACTCCCGGGCAGCAGGTGCCCCAGAGAGACGCAGGGCTCCCGGCGTCCCCAGGCAGCTTCAGGCCCGAAGGCCAGCGCTGGGAGCCAGCTCCTCCCTCTGCACCCGCAGCTCGTCTGCCGCTGAGGAGGTCCCAGGAGTACAGAGGACAACTCGAGCCGGGGTTCCTTCCGAAATGGCCGAAATCCAGCCTTGCGGAGAAAGTTTAGGTTGAGTCTCGGAAGCTCCTAGGAGGTTTGCAGATGGGCTTCAGGCTTTGATCTTGGCCTCTGACCTCTCCCGGTTAAGCGCCCAATTAGTCTTAGCCACAATGCTGTTCCCCAGATGAAAAGCAGGGAGTCCTAGAAGGGGCTGGGAGATGTGCGGAGGAAAAACATGCTCCAGAGGGGGGGGAGTCAGCCCAGAGAGGGCACTGTCTGTCTAACAATGGGAGCAGGCTCAACACTAGGTCTAAAATGATGACTGCACTTATCAGAATAAAGGGATGCATTAGAACAGGTGTCAGGGTTTTTTTTTGTTTTTGTTTTTTTTGTCGTGGCCTTCTGTGCAAGTCCAGCAAGTTTCTTGTTATCTCATTCCGGGATTCTGCTTCAAAGGAAACAGAACCAAAACAAGCACCAGGTGTCAGTTTTAAAGAGTGAGAAAGGTTACACAGGGCAAAGAGGAATATTCAGATGTCTTTTTTTTTTTTTTAAGTTTTTTGAGACAGGGTCTTGCTATATAGTTCTGGCTGGCCTCGAACTCACAGTGACCCTCCTGCCTCAGCCTCCAGCTGTCTTTCAAAGCCGATTAGTAGAAGCTTTCAGTAACTACACAAACTTGGATCCAGCTTCTAAGGAAGGACAGACAGGAAGAGGACAGAATGGCATTCGTCTGTGAGCCCCAGACATTTGGCACAAATGAGAAAAACTTCAGAGGGGACCCAGGCCCTTACTCCCTTACTGGGAAGAATTTTACTAGCAAAAGTGGGGGAGATTCTCCCATTCTGGCAAAGGCTTTAAGAAGAAAGAACCACTTCCATTCTGCATGGAGACCTAAGTCCCCTGGAAAGGGTGAGAGCGCCAAC